TTTATCGATGACGATTGAGCGTATTCCTGTATTTATGGATTTTAGATGGTATTATTCCTAGACTTCTCCCGTCTCTTCTACAATGCTCCGCAATAGATGACTATTTAAGTAGAGGACTGAATCTAGAATGGGGAGGTTTACTGTCTGATTGTTAAAAGCGCCGGAAGAAGAGTTCCTAGTTATCTCTGACTTATCTGGCCACATAGAGACTAACGAAGCTCAATATGTAGTATATGGTTCCGCTAAAAAGAGATATGCTGTGTGTGATCCTCTATATAAGAAAGGCCCTTTGGCCTTGAGTATAATATAGGTAACGCAACTTATACTATTCTATATGATTTTCACCCTTTAGACTCCCTGATTGATAAATACTGACGAAATTCGAGTTAGAAAACCAGTATTATTTACTTGTTTGTAAAATAATAATAAATTCCAAAGATCCAAGTCAAAGCACGTATAGGGTTTTAGTAGTGCAGAATTAAGTTCTAAAACTATCGATCGATGCTACTGTCACCTATGGTATAACACTCTAATATCCTTAGAAATTTACCAGGATTCTATAACTGACCTTAAAGGCTCTTGGCCTTTCTGATAAGTACAGAAACGTAAGCCTTAGTTCCAGGGCAACCATGTAAGGCATTTCTTGCTGCTAAGGCTCATTAGACAGGCTCTTTATTAATTGTCACTCTAGTTTATAAGACTGTAACACTACTAACAAACTTTCATTGTACTTCAGGATACAAGAAGCACCAGTAACTGCCAAACAAATACTATGCTTAAACGTAGACCGGCAATGATACAATTCTACAATTTGAAACTCGGTGATAACCCGCAGAAGAGTAGATCAAGTAGATCCTTTATAGCCTAGAGAGGAAATAGCAAGGCTGTACAATGGTCCAGATATTATTCACAAGCCTAGACCTGATAGGCTATCACGCGTACGGATAGAACAGATCTCCGTCACTCGGGCCTACTACATAGGCTACCCTCACAGTTAAGGCTAGAGCAGTTGAAGAATTTAGAATATCACACAAATTTCTGGCGAAAAAGAGGTACGCTAAAAGTCGATCCATAGTGGTATTATCCTAGCTGCTCTTATAATAAAGTACCTTGTTTCCTCTGTTAGGTGGTAAGCGGCTGTGTCTTAGTATATATAGACTATAGAACGTTCTAGAAGCTATCTTCCCCTACATCAGCCTTTCCCCAATGACTATACTCTCTTCGAATCCACTACTTCCTCCTTCCCCAGCTCCATTTCGACCACCTGTCTAATAGCACTAACAGATAGCTTATAGAAATATATTCTAATTTTAGACAGACCAGATAGGTTAGCCTAAACATATTTTCTGGTTTCCAATAGAAGCTGAGAGACTGATTAACTTCCAGAAATAGCACGAGTCAGCATTATAGGCCCGATAATCTACAGTCCCGAAAGTCTATCTTTCAAGCATTGGCTTATCGCTACTAGTACCCACCGATTCTAGAGCCCAAAACTATTTTATGGATATACGAATAGAGCTTTACAAAATCTTATATTCCAACAGGCTGGAAAGATTGTGGTGAGTATGCCTTAATCTTCTGAGCTTTCCTTCGACTGTAGGGACAGAGCTAGAGCAAAAGCCTGTAGATAAGCTTTCTAAATTTGAAGCTTAAATCCCATTATCCATGAATAATCGCATTTGTACCCCGACCGAGCGTTTCTATGGATTATGCAAATGATTTTTCAAGATGGCTTTAGCGATCAGTGCTCGACAGTACTGCTCTTAGTTCCAAGGCCATTGTAAAACTAACTTCCTCTACTAGAGTCTAAGGCTACTTGCCTCAGGTACACGAGAACATACTACTGTTGAGTTGAATAGGAAAAAAAATTGCTTTACGTCAAACATAACTGGGGCTTGGATCGAAAATCAATAGTATAACTCAGCCTCTACACAATGTATTACTCTGCTTTCGACCCACCTATTCAATTGAGCCCATTCAGAGATCTGGAAATCCAACCAAGCATATTCTCTCGAGACCGATAAGAGTCTAGGTAGTCTGAGAAGTTCTCGAGGATTCCCCCAGCTACCATTTCATAATCTTATTGCGAGGACACGTATATCTTGGCTTCGTAAGAGCCTTTTATACGCAGCCCTTAGTATTTCACATGCCGGATGAGACACCATTGACATACTCTTAGATTAGAGAGACAATGATGAAGAATGTGTAGGCGGGTCGTTTTATTGAGCGTCTACGATAGGATTCTAATGCTTATTTTCTTTTAGCTTTAGGACTCCCTAGGTACTATTGTAATTCTAAGGAAGGGGTGATTGTTCATGTTTGTGAAAAGTACAAGAAGGTACGTATACAATCGGGCCGGCATTCCTGATTCTGCAGCTTCGTTTCTCAGCTGTACCAGCCTTCTATCATAGCCATATGCACCAAGACTTGTTTATTGAAATGTTTAGCACGGTTGCTTTGACACCACCACAAAAACCCGTGCTGCTCAAATGCCAGTAGACTGCTGCTGGAATGGACGTTTTGTTCACTGGTATCTCAGCTTCTTGGCTGCACAGACACGATGTACATAGTCCCAAATTCAGAATGACGATTATTTTTTCTCCAGGCTGGTAATAGATTGGTACTGGCGCTGCGCGGCCTTTGAAAAAAGGCCAGCCTGTAATGAGCGAAGGATAGAAGGTATTTCGTACCTGGTCTCGAGATTTTGGTCTCAGTTGATTCATTGCTGTCACCGGTATGGCTAGGCTCGGCTATTACGATTGTTTGAAACCATTTGTCGATGTTCCTCTGAGCAAGAGTTTTGTGTTTGGAAGAGTCGCCGGTGAACCGATACTGCCCACCAAGCAGCGAACGGTTCCTGATTGTTTTTGATTGCCTGGAAGTTCTGGAGATCTGGCACCAGTGCGACTGCGCTTCCGGAGAATATGGTACTTTTTCCCTCGTAGAGATTCAACGCCTGGATTCGCTCGATATTGTTCATAATATGCGTCGGAGCGAGCTTTCCACGATAGCGCGCGATGAGCATATAAGCCAGGGGAGAAGATTTTCCTCTTCCTATTCTAGCCAGCCTATTGCACTACGTGGGGATATGGTGATACTCGGGCAAGTGGCAGCAGTGGTAAGGAATGGGTGAAAATAATAGCAGAAAGTGAACTCGCTGATGTAGGTTTGTTGAGTTTAAAAGATTCTTTTAATACTCAGTTAACTACGGAAGATATTACCGTTGCATCGAAAAATGGTCATTGTGTGATTATAAGCTATAGCTTAGTCTAGTGCGCTAGTCTTAGACTCTTACTATTCTCACTGATCTATGTTTTGAAGACTAAAAAGCCCTCGATTTGTTGATGTACGTTTGGAAAGGTTCCCGTCGAGAATTAACCTGACGTTGAAATGAACATAGCGATAGGAGCCTCTCTATTTGTTGAAGATTACCTATGATCTCAACACTGCGTTGAAAGGCATCCTTTTCAAGGTTGTATTATTGTTTATTTGTTTAAAAGTCGTTTGCCTTTCGGTTCATCGTTTTCAAGATTGATCTGGATCCGCTAATACTTTTGCGATATAAACAGATAAGCCGATTTTCAACGTTACTTCGACGGACAATGTGAAAGGTCATGGGAAAAATGTAATGGTCTAACGGTGGAAAATTTTAATACTGTTTCTTGATTATATTGGCTGAAATCTATTCCAAACTGAGTCCCAAATGCGGTAAGTATGGATGGAAGATAAGTTAGTGGACCTTCCAACCATTGAATGCAAGCAAGGGAACCGCCCCGTTCCCGGTTCTGCGACCCAACTCTTTATAAAAGGTTATGCATTTTCTTCTTTTAATTCGGACGAAAAGTTTGTAAGACATTCCTGACCATATCGCGACTCTGACAATACGAGACTTCTGTTCTAAAGTTCTTTCTTCCCACGATCAAAACTACGACAAGGGCAATTTTAGTTACGGTGTTCCGCTAGTTTCGGCCTCGAGGAAAGCACTGATCGCAACGCAACGACCTCTAGCTTTGATTTTACGATTTGACATCTATATTGGAAATGGCATCCTGAATCCTACACTCGCTACCTCCGAAATGATCCCTGCTATGAATGATTGCTAATTCCGGGTTGGCTATAACCCTACCGGCACCTGTCCTGCAAGCTGATCAGGTAAGTGATTTGTCTCAATCGGGAACAACGGATGATCTACAATGCGTATGTGCTATTAAATAGGTCGTCGATTCTAACCATTGCTACACTGGCACGGAGAGTGATGAATGAGATATTTTGGCCCACACGGGGCACCCGCGGTCTAAGTACTAGAGATATAGGCCTCGTTGTGAGGGCTTACAGCTCCGTGAGGGCCGCAGGTGGGCCCCTATCACCAGTGTCCAGACCACAGGTGTTCCGTGGTACTCCTTATATTCATAGGGGGGGCAACGTGAGTATGCGGTAGCATACATGGTATATACATGAGAAGGGTCCGCGGTGGGCGGGAAGAAACCGTCGCGGAGGGAGCCCGTCTGTCCCTCGAAACGACGATGTTCTTTTCGAGGGAGGGGATGTCCGGACGATATATGTGCGATGTGATAGATCTAGCACGCAATATCGAAGGCTCGACAGGCACGCAATAATCCCGAACAGAACCAATCATTTAATCATTTTGCTGGTTGATCGTCTCTAAAAAACTGAAAACCCTAGACAACTCCAGCACCACATGACATTGCGATCCCTCTAGCTTTTCTTATCGAATCCAAGTGGAGAACTGATCGACCTCTCATTGCCCGAATGATAATGTGGGAATGTGGTCAAAATCACAAGATAGAAATGTCCGACATTCTGAGCAAAATCTGGCTATCTCTTTTATAGTACAGTTGCATAGTAAGCGGAATCAACACACAATACCAAAATACTCAAAATCAAAAGCAATTTAGTGCTGTAAAACCTTCCATCTATGGATCCACGATGATTACATGCCGATAGTTTTAAGTTTTCAGTATCATACTTTTACCAAGACATCAAAAGCCCCACTGCTTGAGCCAGTTCTCCATTAATGGGGCGTCAACAGGCCCGAGCCGGCGCATTGTTTCGCTGGCGGAAAGAGCTCGGACTGTCTCAACAGGACATATCCATCGGCCGGCATTATCAAGTAGTCCCCAGTAGAACTCTAAAATCTTAAGAGCGGGCTTGTTTTCCAAATCGGCCTCCGTGGGGTTAGCGATGGCATCAAGGGCAGCCAACCAGCGTTGAAGATCGACCACCTCTACATCAAAATGGTTTTGAACGGTTGGGATGAGAGATGCCCAGGTCGTACTTGTGGGGTTAACAAGATGGAGCACTTTGGTGCGTTCGCGTTCTTTGCCGCCACTTCGGGTTTGGATGATGTCGAAGATGATCTTGGCAGTAATGTCCTAGGGTCCGGTTTTAGTTTTAGTACTGGACTTTGCTGCAAAAAAAAGGTAAAATGGAGAAGGGGTATATGTACCACCGGAATCCAGTCTACTTGCATCTCACCAAGGCTCTGAGGAATCTGCTTGATCGTTTTTGAAGTCGCGATGATCGACGGTAGCCACTCCTGTAAATTCCACTGGCCGAAAATCGTGGTCGGCCCACCAATCTGGCCTATACGGTAGACACTAGTCGGCACACCGGAGCGAATGGAAGCTATGGCACAAATGCGCTCCGCAATATGCTTGGACTCAGCATAGCCCTGTCGTAGTACCACATCAGGATCCTCGAACGGGGTCTCAAGCACTGATGGGCCGTGCTGAGCGCGCCAGGCACCGACGGTGGATATGGAAGAAATAAAGTGGATATGAGCCTGGTGCATGCTCTGGAGGCTGAAATCAACTAGCCGACGAACGCCCCTGATGTGAACGCCTTCAAACGTCTCTAACCTATGGTTAAAGTTGACCTTCCACGCATTGTGAATTACAAGATCGACCGACTGCCTCAGCTCGTTATACTTTTGTTCGGAAAGACCAAAATGCACGGAACCGAACATAACCTGGAGGAACTCGACGCGGACGTGGAAATCGGGTGGGATTGCAAGCCCTTTCTCCTTGAAACTGCGGGCCTGTCTCGCCGCAGCGTCGTCAGACCGATTAAGGCAGTATATGTGTGTGATGCTAGGGTCATTGGCCAATTCATAGAGGAGATAGTTGCCCAAGGAGCCGGTCGAGCCTGTCAGAATCACTATATGTTGGCTGGCCCAAGTCATGTTACTAGCCTCCCGTGCAGGCAGGTCCCAGGTGTATTTGTCGACGAGGGCGGCGATTCGCCCTTGTCTGATCTCCTTAGCATCTGCACCCAGAATTTCATCGGCTCCTCCGCCATGAATAAGGCAATGCATGTATTCCGAAAGATGCTGGACTGACGGATAAGAGTACAACTTCTGCCTGGTGATCTCTGGGCCGCCTTTCCCCAGTTGAAGGGAGCGGAGGGTACCCTGCAGAATTTTCCCGAGTTGAAGCGTTCTAAGCGAGTCCAGACCAAGTGAGAATATGTCACTATCTTCAGCGATTCGCTCTACTGAGAGCAGTTGCGATACAACAGTCTGGACGTATTTAGTTATGTCTTGAAGACTAGAACCTTTCAGGATCCCGTCCGTGGATTCCTCGTCTGGGCGGGCGTAGAGGGCATCGATCTCGTCCGCGTAGTCATTCACCACAAGGCGGCGTTGGGTTGAACCCTTTGGGGTCAGCTGAAATGGCTTTTCTTGAGAAGCTTGGCCGATTTTTGTTTTCAAAATTCGACCATAGCTCGGCGCACTCTCATTTGCCTTCTGGATGACTGGCCATATCTCATCCACGAGAGCGTTTTCAGACTTCCCTTCACTCCATCTTTTCCAGTCAGGTTGAATCAGCAGTGCCGATTGAAACCGCCCCTGGCCGATGATCACGGCTCTGGACACCAGGGGGTGCCCTTCGATAATCTTTTCCATCTCGATAGGGTTAAATTTCTCGCCGTTGCTGAGCACGACGACGTCATCTAGTCGTCCTGTATATTTCCAAAGGTCCGACTTGTTGGGATGCCGTTCAAAAAGGTCCTTGGTCTGATATTCTTGACAGTCAGGATATGTGTGAAAGATCATCATGAAATCGCGGCTCGTGCCCTTGTGGAGCACCATCTCGTATATGCCGTCTGCAACATATTCCATACGAATCCCATAGTACGGATTCCATTCGAACCACTGCCAGTCTTGCCTCTCTTTGTTATGCAGACATGCAATGACCCCGGCTTCACTAGAGCCTATGACCGACTGAAGGTTCACATGTTCGCATAATTTGTTGCCCACATCAGGCGATAATGGTGCACCACCGAAGGATATGATTGGAATGCGCTTTAGAGCCGCCATACCCTCGTCTGATGCAGCCAGGTCCTCTATCACAGACGGCGGAAATATGGCATTTTGAGGGTGCGCAACGTCCAAAATGTGAGTTAACAAATCCACAGTCATCGGTTTCTCTGGGCTCAGGACAAACGGGATTCCATGAAAGATGGATGATATAATGGAAACAAACCCCATCACATGGAAAAACGGCGTCATTGTAAGCAATTTTTCTCCTGATGTCGTCAAGGGATAGAATGCTTGTTGTCTACCAGCAGGGGCTGGCATAGAATGGATGTTATCAAAGACACTGAAGTATCCGTGCGTCAAATAAACCGGCTTGGGGAAACCTGAGCAAAAGTCAATAATCTCTGGTGTATACATTCATTGTACCTCAAAGCACTGACCAGTTGTCCCAGAACTATGGATGATGACGGCTGTTTGGTCTTTTACATCCGCAAACCTTTTCTTGTAAGGATAAGACTTGGCCTTCCTTCCAAAGATCTGCCAGAGACTTGGTACCTCCCAAATTTGCATATCGCGGTTTTTCCGCTGAAGACTTTGGGACTCTCTTTGCAATTCCTCACTGTAGACAAACTTAGAGCACTTTATGGCCGTGAGGACGTGCAAAAATGCTGCCTCTGAGTTTCGTGAAGAGACTAGCAACGGCTGTATACATATTATTAGGACATAAGTAGGGAATGGATCGACATCCACAAAGGCGTACTGCGTGTCCCGTTTTCATGCATGCAAAGACAAAAGCTGCATATCGGATATCGTTTGCACCCATATAAGCCAGAGACTCCGACTGAGAGCTCCGGCCAATATCTTTCTCGATCCATTGGGCCATGTAGTTCACGGCATCGGCAAGGATCTGGAAACTGACATATCGCCATCCTTGTGTAATGTCTGAGGAGACAGGATGCACACAGAAGAGCTGGTCAGGCCTATGTTCCGCTAGCTCATCAATCACATTGCACATAAGTCTCCTTCTTAGGCCCAAATTTTCCATGATTTTGCTCTATTTTGTAAGCTATGGTGAAGACGTGGATTAATGCCACAATCAAATGAAACGATTTTGTGAAGAAAATGCGAAATTTGGATTTTGGAAGATAAAACAGTAGATTAGTAGCGCGAACATCCAGCCGAATAAATACTGATAGAACCGATCTGGACTAAATACGAATATACGGTCGCATGATGGCAGAAGCCGCGTCATACTGAGCATGACTAAGGCCAAAAGCCATTGTCCATTAACTTCTAGCATATGACATGGCAGAATTAAAGATACTCCGAGAATCGCTCCAGTCTACAGCCAACATTGGAAAATGGCGGCTGCCACTATGGATAGAACACATTCCGTGGGTCGATTTGGACTAGAAGAGTAACTGAGCCATAGAGGACACAAAGCCAGGAGGTTTGGAGACTGAATATTTGCTAGGTAGAGCGTAAGTGCGCTACGGAAATTGTGGGGCGAGATCTGGTAGTATTTTATCATCATCGATTGGATAGTCTCATTAACATCCGAAGATAAAATCTCAATAAAATGAAATGTGGGTCCTGTGAGGGCTACGGGACACTTTCACTAGTAGAGCATCTCTCCTTCCGGGTCTACCTTAAGGATGATCTCTCCTACGTCTCTTGTTGGCTACCTTCCGTTCCCTCGGATAATCATATCGGATTAAAGATGTCCGTTACCCAAACCAACCTAGCTCCCTTACTCGAAACGATCAGTCATCGATTAATCATCAAAATACGGCATCATGGATTCAAGCATGTGATATGAACAGAAAACTTACAAGGAAAAATCTCTGTAAGTTGCGAGCCAAATGTATTTTTGCTCAATGCTAGATATGTAGAAAAGCAATCTTTCAAGGGAGATTGTAATGATCGACAAATTGTCATCTAATTCCTGCCGCAATCATTGTCAGGGTAGTCTCACGATACAACTAGGGCTCCGAAAGGAATAAATGAATGCGAATATGAGCCATATTCATATTCGCACTCGGGAAATATGAATAAAGAAATTCTTATTCGTGCGAATAAAGTCCATGTTGAGTATCACGGTGGTCAAAGCATGTAGTGGGGATCATCAAGAGACAGATAAATAGATGAGGAGCCCCACTTCCAACAAGATAGACAACTTAACCAATACAACATACCTATCTCAACAGGTTATGAGCCCGGGTGGCCTAACCTTAGGCTTGCAGAAATTTAAACAGACAATTTATTACCTGCCATTTACAGCTAAGCCTCCCTATCAAGTGATAACTTTATCAATCCAAGGATCTGACCACATTGCATCAGTAACTTGGTGAAAATATCGAGCTCCAGTGTACAAACCATCTGGATGGAATGAAGCGGATGGACTTTATCACCGCGACTTTCACTGTCACACTATCACACTATCACTGTCACACTGTCACTGTCCCACTATCACTATCACACTGTCACACTGTCACACTACCACCTTGTCGCCATTGCAGATATCACATTGGCACAGGATAACACAAAATTGAATCCATAGCTGAGAGATGTCCCCTTCGACAGCGAACTCAGAAATTACCTTCTCAGGGCCACCATCTCGATCTCAGAGAAGGCCAGCTCAACTTCCGAAGAAGAATGCAAAACAGCAAAATAGACACTCTTGGACAGATGAAGAGCTAAATCTTCTTTCGCATTTTCGATGCATTCATCGCTGGCCCTTCAAACAAATCCAGAAGTCATATTTTCCAACACTTTCACCGAATGCACTCTTGGGAGCCTACTGGCGCTTATCCACTGAAGACCGCATACGCCGAGCATCAAGGGTCACTGTCCCAATTACGACCCCTCACAGCACTATACAAGACTCTCGAAGCACCCCCAAAGCTCAATCCACACGTCCCGGCCTTGAGAAAGGACCAAGTCACTATAATACTCCTACTCCTGGCACTTTCTCCCAGACAAGAAACGGCGTTGGGGCCTCGATTTTGACCTCGCCAAATCCTGCGGCTGGAGACGAATCATTAATATCCAGTAACAATAATACGAATCGCTACACGCTTCGGCCTAACAGACCATCAACTTTCTCGCAAAAGGAGCCGCGATATCTAGTTGACTGGCGTCGTTTCCCTCACTTCTCCAAATCGTATAGACGATCCCTGAACCTGCGCCGGTTTCCAGACAGAGACTATACTCCACCGTCTCGAACACCTACGCCAAACTCATCAGACCGTAGCCTTTCCATCGTCTCGAGCCTTCCCAGTGTCGCATCAAGCCTTGAACTCTTTGGCTTAGAGGCGCGTTCTCTCCACTCATCAGATCGTGACTCGGTTGCTTCCACTCTACAGGACGACATATCCAGCCCAGAATTCTTCAGCTCGGAGGAGCATCCGTCTACAACATGACTGACATCGCGAAGTTTGAGCAGTTTGGATTGAATACATTCTACAATGGCATCCCGACACTGGATAATGCCAGCGACTGGTTTAAGTGGAACCAGAAGGTTAATGAGTTCATTCGGATATCTGCCGTTGCCGACGATGGAGCAACGCCACCGATAGAAGAAGAAGACGCACGGCAGTGGACTCGTCGCCAAAAATTCTACTCTGCGATGATCACAGCGAAGCTGACGCACAATGCGGCACAGAGAATCAACGCTTTTGAGATCTCCCAAGTTCAGCCACTCCTCAAAGCAGTAAAGGACAACTTCAAACCAGAAGGCACTGGGACATACGTGAATCTCCAGAGACGGTATATTTCACTTACAAGAGAAAATGTGGAAGTGCCCAGGCCCTCGGAGCCGAGATAAGGAAGATTCACGCTGAGAAACTCCTGCTTGACCCTGACTGCGTGACTTCCGAGATTGAGCGAACTTTCTTTTTCGTGCATGCATTAGGTCCTGAATATGAGAGCTTTCGTGATCATATTTTTCGGCAAATGGATCTTGTGAATGAAAGGGATCCAGACGGAAACATCACGAAAGCGGCACCCACGTTCGACTATATCGAGAACAAGGCAATTGAGGAAGAGCATAGGAAGGGTCAATTGAGCAAACAACCAACAGAGACCCAAGCGCTTCCTGCCCTGGCCCTTATCCGAGGACCAGGTGACAAGAAGCTGATACCATCATCAGACGGGACCAGGTGTCGAATCGAGATTGATAATGTTCCATATTGCTCGTTCTGCCGAAAACCTTACCACGTGGACTCCGAATGCTTCAGTAAGAATCCCGGAATGAGGGATCAGAGAACAGATGGAAAGAGACACAAATCAAAGCAAGGGACTCCACATACGGGCGCACGCAGGCCGCCGAAAAGGCAGCCCTCTACTGACGACGAAGACGATGGCACAGGCAGGCCGAAAGACCCCAAGAAGCCCACCTTCATGTCGGCCAAGGTCTCTGCACAAGATGTCAATGATACATTTGGAAAAGATGTCGAAGGCAACTTTGCTCTTTTCGACTATGTTCCCGCTCTGATGGCTACTAGAGCCCCCTCGATCCGTGACGCTTGGATAGTTGACAGTGGATGTGCCCAGCACGTCTGTAATAACGCCTCAAGATTTGTAGAGATGAGCAAGTACCATGGGCCACCACTGCGAAGCATTGATACGTCGACGATTCCCTCCGGAGTTGGGACAGTAAATGTCCTATGCAATGTACGAGGCAGAAGGAAGTGGTTGGTGCTCGACAACGTCCTCTATGTCCCAACTGCACACGCAAACCTTGTCTCCGTACTCCAACTTCTCCAACGGGGAGCAAAGATCGAATTTTCAAGCCAAGGTGCCATTATTCGCAATAAGTCGACCGGAAAGAACCTTTACACCGCAAGCCAATATCATGGAGTCTACGCACTTAATTTGTGGACCAATATCAGCTTTGTCTCCTACCATGTTAGCCCGCAAATGATTCTATGGCATAGTCGGTTGGCTCATATGAGTGATGCAAATCTACAACGACTCAAAAGACAGGCCTACGGCATTCGGGATATGGAGCCACGTCAACCATGTAACCCATGCCTCCAGGGACGAATGATTGAAAAGCCCCACAGCCGGTCGCGAAAGGGCAGAAGAGGAGAATACGCAATGGAACTCCTCCACATTGACGTTGCAGGGCCATTTGAAGAGGGCCTCGATGGAAGTCGTTACTGGCTCACCATCGTTGACGATTTCACGGGATGGATAGAGATTATTCCGATACCCCGACGACAAGAATTTGTTATAGAATCACTACGTTTCTTTCTCGACCATAATGAACGTCCTGACCGAAAATGTAGAAGAATACGCCTTGACCGAATACCTGAGCAAGTGGGAGAAGAGATGAAATTCATGCTTTTCTCACGGGCAATCCAAGCTGAGGTTACAGGAGTTGACCAACACCAGCAGAATGGGGTTGCCGAAAGAGCCCATAAGACAATTTATGATAGGGCTGGGCCTACGCTAGCACATGCAAGGCTACCTTCTAAATTCTGGCCAGAGGTTGCTCGAACCGCAGCCTTCCTCTCTAATCGGTCGCCGTCATCAAAACTCAATATGACTCCGTACCAAGCATGGTACGGCGACAAGCCCGATCTATCCCGACTCAGAGTGATTGGGTCCAAAGGCGAATATATGATTCCGCCAAAACAGAGGAAGAAGCTCACGGAACCACGAACAAGACCGTGCATTCTGCTAGGCTATGAGGGAAATACCAACTACCGTATCCTACTGGAAGACGGAAGAATCGTTGGGACCCCAAATGCTGAATTTCACGAAGTCCTTACAGCTCCCTCCACACGGACTATAGAAGATGTGGGAGCCAGACGAGACGGCTTACCTGAGGTAACGGCTGCTGCCGCAGGGGGAGTGGGACGGTGGGACTAATAAATCAACCGTCGGTAGGCATACGGCAATCATCCGTACCCGCCTCTGGACGCCAATTGTCGATGGCACCACCAGAGCGAGCGCCACCTAAGTCGAGAAACGATATCTCGCACACACTGCCTCGATCGAGTAACGATAACTCGCGAGTGCTAACTCAGTCGAGTGACGAGAACTCGCTGATATCTGCGTCGTCTGAAACGAGTGACGAGAACTCGCAGCCACCTGTTGCTGAACAGGGAGACCGGACCTTGTCGCCCACGCAGCGTGATGATGTATTCGGACCATTCTCAGATACTTTACAAGAGAATGCCCAAACAAGTGACTCACCAACTGACAGCGACCAGCAACAAGACGACGCTCAACAAGGACAAGTTTTGGGGGGATGGCAACGATATCCAGAACCCCAACGTGACCGTCCAATTCATGCAGTGCGACAGGAAACACTAGCACATCACCCTGAACTCAGGATTCGTGACTCTCAGGGCACACAAGAAACCTCTAATGATAGCGAAGGAGAGCTTGCGTTAATGAACATATCTAATGGGAACATCATCCCAACGTTCTTAACATTGGCCTCCGAGGAAACAGAACCCTTTGAGCCAAAGACTCTGCAGCAAGCGAAGAACGACGCCAGCTGGCTTGAATGGGAAAGCGCAATGCTTGAAGAAGTAAACTCGCTCAACCAAAACAAAACGTGGGAGCTCGTTGATCCTCCCAAGGATCGCAGAATCCTCAGCGGAAAATGGGTCTTCAAAGTCAAGCGAGGACCACATGGCGAAGTAATCCGTCACAAAAGCAGATGGGTAGTAAGAGGCTTCACACAAGAAGAAGGAATTGACTATGATGAAACCTTCGCCTCAGTTGTCAAACCAATGAGCTACAAGGCCCTTTTCGCAATCGGAGCGGCCCTAGACCTGGAGATCGAGCAAATGGATGTCAAAACGGCATTTCTGTATGGAAATATAGACCACGAGATCTATGTCGAGCAGCCTCACCATATGGCTGATGGCACGTCAAAGGTCTGTAAACTTCGCAAGGCTCTCTATGGCTTGAAGCAAGCCCCTCGTATCTGGTACCAGACCCTTACAAACTTTTTACGCAACCTCGGCTTCGAGCCAATCACAGCAGATCTTGGAATCTTCGTGCGGAGCAATATGTACATCGCGGTGTACGTCGATGACCTCCTCATTGTGGGACCAAGCATTGCAGAGATAAAGAGGATCAAGCGGAGCCTGAGAAATCGCTTTCAAATGACAGACCTGGGGCCGTGCAGCTACTACCTTGGGATGTCCATCCAGCGAGACCGTCAGAACAGGATACTGTACCTCAGTCAAGAAGCATATATTGACAAGGTCGCTCATCAGTTTGGAGTCAGCGATGGCGCCCCCGTCAGTACACCAATAGAGACTTCACCCCTCCCAGAGTGTAGTCCAGACTACCGATGCCCTCCAGATCAAAGAATCTCCTACCAACGCATTGTCGGGTCTTTGATGTACATTATGCTTGGAACCAGAGGAGACATTGCGTATGCAGTGTCTGTGGCGAGTAGATTCCTGGCAAATCCTGGGCCGCAGCATATGAAGCTCGCCCGACGCGTCCTGCGGTACCTCAAAGGAACAAGAGGCCTCAGGCTCACGTACAAAGGTCAGCCCCAGATGCTGAAAGGCTTTACAGACGCAGACTGGGGTGGATGTCGTGACACCAGACGATCAACAGCTGGATATCTCTTCAATGTCGGGAGTGGTGCAATCAGTTGGCAGTCGAAACGCCAAAGCGTCGTTGCCCTCTCAACCTGTGAAGCTGAGTTCCTGGGCCAGACACAAGCAAGCAAAGAAGCAATCTGGCTAAGAAGACTTCTAAATGAGTTAAACATGAGCCAAGGAAAAACCGCAACAATCATTTGTGGTGACAACCAAGGAGCCATCGCCCTTTCGTCGAACCCACAATACCATTCCCGCACGAAGCATATGGAAATCCAACGCAAGTGGCAAGGAGAAGTTCAAGACCTTGGAACAGTGGAGCTGCAATACATCCAAACTACAGAACAAATTGCAGATGGGCTCACCAAGCCTCTTGCACGAGGACGATTTGAGTGGTTTCGGAGAGGGCTTGGCATTGAGTGACGCCTCTCTCGGCCCACGGGTTTCGAGCAGAGACTAATCGCAGGGGTACCCTTTCCTTCTTTTCCCTTTGAAGGTTTTTTGAAGGTTTTTTGAAGGTTTTAACGGGACCTTGCACCACCGTGTTGGATGGTCACTGGCATCCTTGATAGCGGTTGCCATCGAGTGGGAGTGTTGAGTATCACGGTGGTCAAAGCATGTAGTGGGGATCATCAAGAGACAGATAAATAGATGAGGAGCCCCACTTCCAACAAGATAGACAACTTAACCAATACAACATACCTATCTCAACAGTCCATTATTCATATTCGCATTCGAATTATTCGTTTTATTCGTTTTATTCATACTTTTGCGCATTAATATTTTCTCCGTTCTCCCCGGTTTGGGTATTACCGAAATTCACAATTTGGGGGGTTCAAACTTTGTTTCAATTTAGAATTCGACGAGGTTGCTGTCACGACCCCAGCCAAGCAGAAAACACGCTATTTCTATGTCAAGTATGTCGCTAGCTTTGAATATGCTTATGTCGTAGTTTTCAATGAGATCTACGTATTTTGTAGTACTATCTCCGGCGATATCTCGTAAACAAACGCCAAATTTTGCTTGCCTGGAAAGTTTTCACAGGCTGTCGAACGAGAACTATATACTGTAATGGAATCCCGCTTTCAACATCGGAGTCAGATGATTGGGGCCTTCGTAACAAGGCAGCCATGTATTTTCGGGAGAATAAGTAGCGTTCGTTCCATAGTATCAATAACAACCATGCGATGTCCCCCTTATAAAATGTTCTGCTGAGGCTGCTGAGGTTGCGGTATCGATATACTGCTCATAAAAGGTTCTGTTATTCGTTCTATCGTTCTTCTATAGCGTTTCGCTTTGTCTACTACTCTCCTGAACTCTACGAGTGTGGTGGTTTTGTCCTCTTGCAATCGACCCGTCTGCCAACGCAGACTGCTAGCGAGCATTTCCATCTCCCAATATCTATATGAACCACCTTTCTACCTCTTCTCAGCTATGATTAGATCGATTGCCATAACTTCTCTTATGCTCACCCGATCTGCTCCAAAACTTAAATCCGATACAAATGACACAAATAACATGTAAAAACACGGTTATCACACCATTCAAAGCTGTATGCAGCCTAGGGCACGCTTTGCTTACCTCGAAACACGCACGCGAGTGCGGAGGCGGTAGAATAGAGTTAAGATCGCCAACTTCCGTCTTCCATAGGGTTCTGTCAGGCGATGACCCGCGTGACAACATGTCTCAACTTGTCCTATATGACTTATTCTCGTTATTTGTTGTGGCCTGCGAGAATACTAAGCGTTTCGGGAGGAGTGATACTCGAGAAACGCCATGCCTTGTTCCCAGCCACCAGTTGAAATGCTGACACTGAAGAAATGTAGAATGGCATCATCACCTAACCCATTCGCGCGAAAGACCCGTGGTCTTCCGCGTCGCGACTACAATGCTCGAACAATGGCTTGGGTCCCCTACTTCCTGAGTCGTCGGAAGGCGATCTTCGTGAAATTGAGCGCCCCTGCTTCCCAGCGCCCTCCGAGTTTATAGCCCCTGAAGACACGTCCCAGTCCGAGACGTCCGTACATATTCCTAGCTCTTCGCCATCTCCGCAGATCCCGGTGCTCTCGAAATTAGCTAACAGTGGATGTAGCCCGCAGCCATGCAAGAGACGAAAAGCTAAGTCATACTCTAGCTGGACGTTCGAGCATTTCTGGGTCATAGGGCTCGACAATACCTGGAGTCGAAAGGGCGGTCCGCCAAAGAAAGACCGGCTCCTAGTCTGCAGACAGTGCAGCTAGTCGTCCACAGACTCGGTACGTTACGTGTCCACTTCGAATTTGCTGGCTCATCTCCAGACCAAACACCGCATCAAGTCTGGATCAGACACGACCTCATCGTCCACTACTGAAACGACCCTCTCCCATTTCTTAAGGCCTTCTAGGGAAAGGATGGGCCTTGAGAACATGCTAATACAATGGGTCGTTCAGACGAGACAGGCTTTCACTGTGGTGGAGCACCCCGCGTTCAAGGCACTATTTGAGGCGACAGGGACTACATTGCCTATCAAGACTGCCGACACTCTACAATAGAATCAAAGACGAATTTTGCAAAAGCAGGATTTGCCTGAAGCAAGAATTAGCCAAAAGCAGTCATACTCTTGCGTTGTCTCTTGACGTTTGGACATCCGAGAACCAGGTAGCGATCATGGGTATTATTGGTCATTAGATCTCACCCGAGTTTGCGAAGCGGGAAGAGCTCCTTGAGTTCACTGACATATACGGACCACATTCTAGAGAGAATCTAGCAGAAATCGTGATGAAGATGCTCGAGGAGCTGGATATCGTGCCAAAGCTCCTAACGATCACAGGTGATAATGCTGGCAACAACAGGACCCTCTGCGGTAGTCTGCATGCAGACCTTCTCAAGATATATGACGATAAAGACGATTGCTTTCGTACCAGACCTCTCATGCGGTTTCGTGGTCGGCAGAGCTTTATCCCTTGTCTTGCCTATGTCATCAACCTTATCTGCAAGGACGTATTAGTTTCTCTAAGAGCCGGTTCAGCTCAAGAGACGAAGCTTATCTTGGACGAAATGACTACCCAAGGCAGCCAAATGTTTTCCTTTGCTCACAGCACAAATGGAGCGATCATGAAAATCCGGCTGCTGACCCTATGGATTGCTCGTAGCCCACGACGCCGCCACGATTAGAAAGAAGTTTCTCTAGACAAGCAAGTTAGCTATGATGTTGACAGCCGTTGGAACTCAACGTGCGTCATGATTGCGTACGCCCTTCGGCTTCGGAAAGAGCTTCATCAATTTGCTCGGATCCACCCAGAAGTTCACGCCCTTCGGCTTACTGACGAAGAATGGTCGGTCCTTAAACAAGTAGCGAAGGTCCTAAAGCCATTTTGGGATAACACCAACTCCGTGTCGAAATCCTACCCGACGAGTTTTGAGAGTCCACCAATCTATTAGAGCCTGGATGATCTGCTTGACGATGTTTAAAAAAGCAGAAGGTGATTTCGAAGACGTGGACACCAAGATCGGAGACGCAGTGGGAAGGGGAATCCGAAAGATGAACAAGTTTGCGAGAAAGATCGATGATAATCTCCTTTACTATGTTGCTTCCGTGCTAGATCCACGCATTAAGCCATCTTTGATAGGATCGCAGATGAGTGTGCAAGATGCGGGGCTGATCGATCATCTCTCAAGTGCGGGAGTTCTTAAAGAAGGAGTATCCTCATGAGCCATCCGTCTCGTGTGAGGCAGATCGCCCGTCAGGAATGTCCGAGACCATGTGGAGGACGCCACGAAAAGTGCAACTATTCCAGCGGACGCTTTCATCGGATATCGATAGGTATCTGGACTCACCTCCCGTGAGTTGGTCCCATCATATGATTGGAGATGTAGACAAAGAATGGGCCCTGAAGTGGTGGAGGGCGAAAGCATTTAACTTTCCACTCATGGCGAAGGCAGCTCGAGACTATCTGCCAATTCCATCGGCGGAGGTATGGATTGAACGCGAGTTCAGCAATGTTAGAGATTTGTAAGGGCTCCGGAGACACTGCCTCAATGCTCAGACTATGCAATGGCTTATGTTATTGAAGGGACAGTATCAAAGGTAGCTTTCCGAGCTAGTGACGTATGTGATGATATTCAGATTTCAGGGGGATTTAATATCTCAGTGGTACTTATGAGTTTTTTGGGTTAAAATCCAAGCGAAGTGCATGAACCTTTCGGAGCCCTAGATACACCTGTTTTAGTGGTTTTACGGAGTCGGGCAATAGAGGCTCGCGGGCAATCTTTGGGTGCGGCTCAGAATATTTCCAGGACTGATCGCTGAACCTCGAAACTCAGGTGCCAGCGAGGTATTTATATATACTCTCTTTACCCCGCTCATCTATGCGTTCATGCATGCGATCAGAGCGCAGCGGTGAGGCAGTGACAGCCTTAATGTCCAGGCATGACTTTGCAGCCTAACGTTATAGCACAGCTGCCCTCACAATCATACTCTTGGATACTAGGTGCGTAACTTGCTCGTGGATGCTTACGGTAGTTACAGTACCTGATTTAAATGCAAAATCTCGATACTTTGCCGTAAATGTTTGTAACTAATGAATTATTCCGGATGAATGTTTCAGCCCAAAGTAAGACCGCAACCAGAAAATCCACTTCCACTAGGGAGGTTCAATTTGATTATTCAAAGTCGCGGTCGGGAACTGAAATTAAATTCGGATTTTGTTTTTGCAGCTTGAGGAAATGATATTATGAGGCATTCGACCTTGCATCAATACACGAGGTAACCACAATATCTCCAGCAGTGGCTTGGGTCCTCCGTTTCCGTTTCGCCATGCGTTCCATGCCGGTCTGGGCTATAAAGGCAGGGAATCGAGTTGGAATGAATGCTCCTAAGACTAAAAGATGAACAGCGTCAGGCCATCCTGCCAATTATTATATAGACCTGTGCTTTGGCTTTGCATCGTAGTAGTTGCTATTGCGAAGCTCAAGAAGTGAATTTGGAAAAAAAAGACAAAGAATGTCACAAATTGAATGAAACAGACAGCTCGAAGGAAAGATAGCGGCGGTAACTGGAGGATCCTGAGGTACCTCCTGATTAGGCCGACGTTTAGCAAGCTCCAATCAACTAATACCCACAGGTATCGGTGCGGCCATCTGCCAAATCCTCGCTAGCAGAGGATGTTCCATCGTATTTAGTTATGTATCGAATTCATCGGCCAAACTGGCAGAGAAAATTGCCTCGGAGCTCAGGTCTCAGCATGGAACCACGTGTGTGAGAGTCCAAGCCGACATAGGCTCCGAGGAAGGCCCTCAGTGTCTCATCGAGGCTGCTAGGTATGCGTTTGGCCTTGACTTTCAAATCGATATCATTTTCAACAATGCCGGTTTCGAAGCGAATTTCCCTTTCGAAAAATGTAACATTTACAATTTCACCTATATGTACAATCTGAATTCCCCAAGGACATTGAAATGTAATTTGGCTGGCCTCACTGGACCTTAAGTTCTCCTCCTTTTCAATGAGGAGACCAACCTAGAAATTAATATCATTAGAATGCTGATCCAAAATGATCAAGAAATGCAGGTTTACCTCTCTTATAACGTCATATCCAAACAGCCACTCAAGCTCTACCCTAATTAAAGCGTTTTCCCCTTCAAATCCAATCTGCTCCTTATCGTTCTCAGTTCGCGGGGGCTTTGGACCGTTCTGCATCTGAAATAACTCCCGGGTTGCGATTCCGGTAGTTACTACCAGAAAACATTCTGTATCAGCCAGCGTTTTTAGTACCATGGCGTTGAACGCGTTCTACGCGTGGCTTCCGAATATGTTGGTAAAGAAAGGTGGCAGAGGGAATGTCAGAACTTGATTTAATGCTGGCAATAAAGTAAGACAGCGCAAAAGCCGACTCAATGCACTATGACGCGCCCTAGTCAGATTAAAGATCAGTGTCGATATCTAAAACATGAACAGCACAACAAGGAGGGAGAGAAAAGAGACAGAAAGCATACTTGGCCCGAGTCAGGTAGCATTGCCTGGACAGCATCTCCCAGCATTACAACCCTTCCCCCGCGGCTTCTCCAACCGGGGAATGGGCCGACAATTGCGGTGGTCCACCGCGTGGATCTCTGTTCAGTTGAGTTTTCGGCGGCCAGCGCAGCGTCGATAATCGCTCCAAAAGAATCCACAAATGCCCCGTATCGTACGACAGTCATCTAAAAAGGGCGCTCTGCGCGTTAGAGACTTAAAAACCCTCGTCTGAAACAAAGAAATCGCGGAGGGTAAGCAAGAGAGGTGTACGAACGCGATTCTGGAAAGCTGAGAGATGAATTGCTTCACCTGGACGAAATTAGGGCGCAGGGGAACAAGAGATTAGAGGCAAAGGTTAAACATGTTACTACAGAGGACGCACAGCCATTCTTCGATTGATAGATGGGAGGAGTCTTTGTCAATAACTTCAAACTTTCTTTTTTGGGGGTAAGAAGAAGGGGAGGGGAAGATGATAAATGGGCTAAAGTTGATCAGGCTATGGAGGAGAACCCCCAACAGCGTGTGGGTGCCGGTCTGACTTTAAGGGACGGGTATCCCTCATGTTATCCCCGACATTTTGCCCCTCAATTCATTCTCGCCCGGAAAGGTGAATAATATTTGAACATTTTCGTCATTGTCGTCTTATCCATCTAATTGTGCACAATAGCCTGCAATCCTTTCACGGCCAAGTATTGAGGGTGCTATCAGGAAGGGTGAAATAACCGACTGCGAGATTGCTTTCCAGCGCAGTCCCGTAATCGATTTTTTTACATTATGTTGGAGTTACTTGGGTCGCGCGAGTCTGCATTGTTGAAATGCTGGCATAACGGGTTCCCGAGACAGCAGTCCCCTCATGTGTGGTTCCGTATGCGTAGGCTGGTCACAGAAGACAGAGTGGCGTGCAAGGTAGACCAATAATCACCTTCATCACAGAACTTTCTTCCCATTTAAACCTAAAGTTCGCAAAGGTAAACTAATTTCCGACATGAATATTTACAAAAGAGTCAAATCATTTCGCGTGAGGAGTCAGTGAGAATACCAAGCGATCGCACAGACCTTAGTGGCCACTGGTTATTGGGATATCGCGTTGTTTTCCGTATACTTAGAAGTTAAATGTTCCACTTCTGCTGGTATGGGATAATGTTTTCGGAGTACATCTTTTACATATGGCTGGTGCAAGTGGACTTAACTTTGCAGTAGGTTTTGGGTAGAGTACATTGCTCGTTACTGGTATTGTATTAATAATGTGTGTTCAATATTAACTAGTGTAAGATGGGAATGCTCGTAGGCTATCTGCGTTGGCAGACGGGTCGATCGTGAAGAAACAAAACCACCACACTCGGAGAGTGCAGTAAGACTTTAGGCAAAGTGTAACGCTATAGAGGATTGAGAGAACGAATAACAGAACCTTTCATAAGCAGTATACCGATATCGTAACCTCAGCAGCCTCAGTAGAATATTTTCATAAAGGGGAACATACATGTTCAATTGATACTATAGAACGAACGCTACTTATTCTCCAGAAACAAAATAGGGGCCTTGTTGCTAAGGCTTCTGTCACATGACTAGGATACCGATATTGAGAGCGGAAGCCCCCATTAGACTAGGTAACTAATCATAATTTCGCTCTTTCAATCAGAGCTTGCTATAATTAATAATAACGCCGTACCTGCCAATGTGTTCGCTGAGAGTGTTATATCATATCAGCTTCCCAAAGATGGATCATTCTCATAGGACGACATGCCCAGAAAGAACCATCTCTGCTTTTATTGAGATTGAATATACCATCACCAAGTGAACTAGACATAGGCTCCCTCATACGACACTGGCCAGTTCTCGGTAAACCACTTATGTTCCGCCTCACTATTTCGTGGTGGAGGGATCATGCCATTGATCTTCCAAAGCCTTCTCTCAGTCTCAACTACATGATACTCCCAATCATATCCTCTGTCGGCAACATGAGGCTTCAAGAGTTGGTCGATTTTGGTTGTGTTTCTTTGGTACGCCGCGTCATCATTAGGCAAGCGGACAGCAATTTGGGTAATGACAACACGAATGAATGGTTTGTCTGTCTTTTGTTTTCCACCAACCCAGACATCACTCTCAGACTGTTGGATGAATTGGGCCACCACATAGATCGCGGGAAGGCCGATTCCCGTATACATCTTGGTAATGTCTTGCGATAGGGCTTGTTTGGACGCGGCATCTTCAAAGGTGCCGCCTGGATGGTAGATTTGCCAGAGGGGCATCGTAACCGTTTGGTGGAGTTGGTAAAGTATTATGGTGCCTGTTAACAGGATAACGATATGTAATAATGAGAGAATTGGATAATGAATAGTACTATATCAACATTTAGAACCGCCTTCTTTTGCGGGAAGAACGCGCTCATTATAGATGCTCGAGAGCGGTGAGGCCCGACTTCTTGGAGGCGGGTATCCAGGCCGGGAATCGCGTCCCTGGGCAAGAGAGGGAGTGACGTTAACACTTCTTGAATATGCGATACGCGGGAAAGAGGACAACTGCCTAGTCGATGGTATGTACAGTCATGGTCAAAAGTATAAACACAGCCTGGATTTATCAAGAGTTCACAAGCTACTCGCCGCAGCGAAAATCTCAACCAGATTTAATTATTTTCCGCGAAAGATTTCCCGCGAGCCACAGCATCATCATATTGTAACCCAAAGATATAAATTTATCCATGACCATGTATAAAATCAAGTTACGCAATACACTTATCTAAGTTACTTTCATTATTTTTCATCAATAAGCCTGGTTTCTAGATATGGTTCGAGTCTTATCTACAATATCAATACTGTGCTTCTATACTCTTCATGCATCCCAAATAATTATGTAATAGTGAATATTCACAATTTACCACTTTACTTTTTTTTGAGGAAAATATAGTGATAAAGTGCGGTGATCCAAATACTTTAACTGCTTCCAAACGTCTCCATGCCGTCTCCGAACCAACCCCGATACATTGGATGGATAAGGTTTCTAGGCAACTTACCGAGACAAATAACGCCACCTAACAACCAACATTCTAATAGGTCACAAGGCCTACTCTTCACGAAATTCAAATTAACATTCATCCATTGTTGAGAAGAGTGGCCTAGTTGGCCCAGCCCTTGATCTGATGCTCGTAGAGAAGCTGTCCCGACCTAAATTATATAGTGCTTCACGCCGTCTCTGAGCCCTGGCAATTCCTACTACTTGCTTGGCCGCCCTACTTCTTTTGCTTCTCTAGTAATTTCTTTGCCAGACAACTGCTGGGCCTCTCTGAACTACTTTATACCGAACAGACCTTGACAAGTCATGGCTGAACAGGCCGTGGCCACCTACGTGCCGCAGGAGGTTCCCATGCCTCCGGTCCCTACGACCTCTTACTTCTCAGAGGCGCAGTGGGAGATACTATTCTCACTAGCGGATGCGATCATCCCGTCGATTCGCACCACTTCCACGTCTAATTCTTCTAACGATAAAAGCATCTCGCAAGCTGAGTGGGATAATGCCATATCAAAGCTAAATGACACTATCCCGGGACCTGATACGGCGAAGATTGCATCCGAATACTTGAAAGAGAATGTTTCTTCGAACCTCGCTTTCCGTAGCTGCGTCGAGCGCATATTCGGTGACTTTGTCCACGAGGAAGGGCGGAGTGGTTTTGGGCTGATTCTCAATGCGCTTAAGTAAGTGGCCACGACCTATCATTACGACTGAATTCCTGCTAAATGTGGGAATAGTACCCGTGCTGGGTCATTTCTTCTCACTGGATCGATCACACTAATCCACCAGCAACCGATCGCTGTCCGCGAAAAGATCTTTCGCGGATGGGATACATCGCGATTGGCTCCCCTACGACTTATCTACCGAGTACTTAATGCGATCGTCAAAAAATCGTGGGTGATTACTAGCCCGACGATTAGCCTAGTGCTAGGGATTCCGCGAGTACCAGTCTATGGCAAGCCTACCGACGGGTTTCCCTACGAGTTTCTGCAGTTCCCACCAGGAGACCAGCCAGAAACGATTGAGGTTGATGTCGTGGTGGTAGGCAGCGGCTGTGGTGGCGCCGTGGCCGCGAAGAACTTGGCCGAGGCAGGAAATAAGGTGCTCTTAGTTGAGAAGTCCTACTCATACACTACTAAATCATTTCCTATGATGCCGAACGAAGGATTTGTGAACCTATTTGAGAATGGGGGAGCCTTTATCAGCGACGATGGATCTCTAGCCATCCTAGCGGGCTCAACCTGGGGAGGTGGCGGCACGGTAAACTGGTCTGCATCCTTACAGACACAGGGATATGTCCGACAGGAGTGGGCGAATACCGGCTTGTCCTTCTTCACTTCGCTTGAGTTCCAACGAAGCCTTGATCGTGTCTGCGATCGAATGGGTGTAAACACCGAACGTATCTGCCACAACCGTCAGAACAACATAATATTAGAAGGCGCGCGCAAACTTGGCTATGCTGCTAAACCAGTTCCACAGAACACGGGTAATAGGGAACACTACTGTGGTTACTGCACGTTTGGATGTCACTCGACTGGAAAAAATGGTCCTACTGTAACGTGGCTGACTGATGCCGCGCAGGCCGGGGCAACTTTTGTCGAAGGTTTCTACGCCAACAGGGTGTCATTCACCGAGGTTGATGGCAAGCGAATTGCGTCCGGGGTTGAAGGAACCTGGACCTCACGAGATTCGTATTTGGGACTGAGTGGCGAGGGAGCCACTCGACGCAAGTTAATTTTAAAAGCTAAGAAGGTCATCGTGTCGTGCGGTACATTGCAGAGCCCACTATTACTGTTGCGGAGTGGCTTGAGAAACTCACAAATTGGCCGAAATCTTTATCTCCATCCTCGTATGTGTTTTCGCTTCGGATTATAGCATACCAGTGCTTATTTTTCTTCATAGTTATGATAGCTGTTGCTATTTTCGACGAAGAGACTCGTCCGTGGGAGGGTTCTGCGTTGACAACTATGGTGAACGAGTTTGAGGACCTTGATGGTCGTGGACATGGTGTGAAGATCCAATCGTTGTCGATGATGCCATCCGTCGGGCTTCCCGTGTTCCCTTGGCGGAACGGATTAGACTACAAGCTATTCGCGGCTAGCTTCAACCACAGCACTAGCTTCATCACCCTGACCAAAGATCGTGATAGTGGGCGTGTTTATCTGGACCCGGCAGATGGACGTGTCCGTGTCGACTACACCGTCTCTCCCATTGACCGTAAGCACACCGTGGAGGGATTGATCGCCTCAGCCAAAATAGCATACATCTCGGGCGCCAAGGAATTCCACACGCCCTACCGTGACATGCCGCCGTTCATCCGCCCCAACAGTTCAAACCCGGAAGCTCCTGAGGGAATTAACGATGCTGCCCTAGTGAAGTGGATTTCTGAGCTCCGACAGAAATCGCCCTTGAACCCAGAGCGGGCCTTCTTCGCCAGCGCTCACCAGATGGGTACGTGTCGTATGGGCAAGTCGCCCAAATCGAGTGTGGTGGGACCGGATTGCCAGGTCTGGGGCGCCGAGGGCCTCTACGTGGTGGATGCATCTGTCTTCCCGAGTGCCAGTGGCGTGAACCCGATGGTTACCAATATGGCAATTGCAGACTGGGCCAGTTTGAACATACCACGGGATTAAGGGGAATTGCGGATCAAAGGGCACGTGATGGCCCGGCTGTGAGTAAATGTATTCAAAAGACGGTGTACTTTTATTTGTCGCACTATGTCGTGTCAGCGCAGTTTATTCATGAGAATGCTGCTTGGAAAGCTAATGCCTTCTCATCGACTGTTTCTGCGAATGGCCCGTCCGTTTGTTTCAGTGATGGAGTGATGTCACACTCGTATGCTCCATCCCGGTTGCACGCGCATTTGGCGAGGTGCCACATGCCGTGAGGGCCTTTCTCAATGATCTGCTGTACCCTTCGCCGGTGGGCTTGGGTAAGCGTGACCTTGACGAGGCTTTTCTTGTAGTTGCGCGCCTCTTTGTAGCGCATCCAGTCTTATGGGTCTTTGGTTTTGCAGTGGCGTCGTCGTAGCTGGCGAACTAGTTTAACGGGCTTGCAGCATTCCATAGTGAATCCAGGGGTCGCCCACTCTGGTGGTTTCGCACAGGGGGAGACACATCGATAGCAGCCTCAATTACCTGTATGAAAGATTGGCAACCAAGTTCAATGCGCATCTGACCAGCGCGGGATAAATCCCTACTAGTCAAATGCACCTCAATGAACTTTACTAGTCTCTTGTCATCGGTAGTGGCCAAGTCTCTCCGTTTGGGGGAGGTGGTTCAAACAAAGGTGTTTCGGTATCGAGTTGCGTCCTGATTGGGAAATGGTCTGATGCGTGTTCTAGGTCATCAGCTCCTTCGCACCTTACTAGCCTAGAATGCAGACTTAACGAAACGAATGTGAGGCCGATAACTGATGATTAGTCTCGGCTTGTCCATGTATATCTTCCTTCCTCTGTTTCCCACTGGGGCCCTTGTTCATCCATGATCAGGAGTTGATCCTCCGCTCCCTGATCGATCCAGGTTCCAGGTCCTCCCCACGCCGGGTAGTGGACATTCATATCGCCGACGACGATGTGTTTTCCAAATGGGCGCTTTGTGAGCTACTCCCAAAGCACGTCCAACGTAGCACTACCCGGCCGGTTGTAGATATTGTGAATGAAGAAATAAGTCCAGTTCCATTCTTCATGTGCGCGCCGGACCTTTAGGATTTGATAGTCCGTTGGAATTTGTTGGCACGGCGAAGTTTCCGGATCAATCTTCTTCGGTATAAAGAAGCAGACTCTGATTGATTTAGCCCTGGAGCTTTTGGGTATAGCAGCTGGAATTCCGCTGTGGCTGGTTGATGTGTTGTTCTGTTTATGTCATTTCTCCATGGCTCCTGCACTCATCCGCAGCCAGAACCTTTTCATCCCGTAAGAATGTGGCCATCACATCCCAAGACTTATGCACATTATACTGGAGTAGTTCGAATGATATCATTGATCGTCAGTTTTCACCATGATATCGAGCGCATCAGGCAAAGCGGCTGCTGTAAAATCGGCCAGGTATCACATGTTATCCGCTAAGTAGGAAGTTGATACGGTAAACCCTCGGATTTTGGAATTACAAGGGGCTTTGAACAGTAGAAGCACTTGAAGCTAACCCGTATGCAAGTAAACAGGTCTGGTTGAGCTACTATTAGCTAGTAACTAAATTTCATCCCATCGTTTGCGCACAGAACACTTCCAGTCGACCAAACTGAATCAGGGCTACAGAGAAGGGCCCCGAGGGCTGCAATTTCATTGGCGTACGCAGGTCGTCCTCCTTGGGATGAAGCTTCCCTGATCACTTCCATGTCGTCACCATCTCTCACACTCGCCAATGGAGTCATCATGTTCATAATCGATGCTTTCGCTGTCAATTCCGGGGAAGCAGCATCCCTTAGGTCGGTCTCCACAGGGCCTAAACATTTTAGTATTTAGAACGAACGAAAATGTAGTTCCCTCATACCTGGGTTTATAGTATTCACAGTGGCTCTTTTAGCCAATTCTCTGGACCAGGTCCTTATCATACATTCCAAAGCTGCCTTCGTCCCACCATATATAGTCTAACCTGGGCCGACCAAACTACTGGACACATTGGAGATATTGACGACTCTCCTACTACGGTCATATGGAAGATAAGGTAGGGCAGCTCTGACCAGGAGCATTGGCCCACGCGTGTTGGAATAATAAATCAGAAGAAAATTCCCCTCAGTCGGCCAGGTACTTCTACTTACTCTGCATCAGACTTCTATTCCTTCGCAATTTTCGACGTGGCTGTAAGAGTAAGGACCTGTTAAGGATAACAATCACAGTAGTTGCAGCCCCTTGAAACTATTCCTTCCGCTTTATAGCCTAACTCACCTCAAGGAGAGCAATCAAGGGATATGGCAAAGAACAATCAGGCTAGCCCTTCTCACTCAAGGCTTTCTGCGTAACTTTTGACAAGAAGCTAATATTCTCAGGACAACTTTCGGGGAAAAAGGATGTCTGCTTAATGGCCAAGGGAGATAGCGAGCACGCGAGACTACCAAGAAAATCAGAACAGCATGCCGAGAATTTGATCAATGCGCCAGAATACATGCATCAGACTTTGACCCAAAGAAGTAGGCGCTCGTACACTTCGTGAACGCCGGACAGACTGATCCGCAATACACGCCACTATCTACGCATCGAGTGGCACATGTCACGCAGTCTATACATCAACGCCTGGTGTTGTCATTGTATTTTTCCCGGGCCTTTGACTGGTATGTCAGTATACTTCTCGCAAAGCTCACTCCTTTTACATACCAGCGTATGGAACAACGCCATAAGCACCTCGTGTAGTTGACATAGGTCACATTCTGCGACTAAAATATCTGCTAACTGAGAGGCATTTTATTAGGTGAGATCTACTTGCTCATAGCATCGGTTGAAGGCAGAGCAAATAGAATGGATCACGTTCGCCGGTAGAAAGGTATGTGAAATCCAATAATGTGTCCTGTAGTGATATCAGTCTCTTCTGATAGTGAGAATTTCACCAATCTCACTTGGTCTCTTATTTTTTATGATATCCAGGACCACAGCCGTAAATTCAAAAAGTTGATCTCGGAGGGAATGTTGTGATCCAACATTCATTCTGGTAGTGAAAGAACACGGCACGTTGCGGCACGTAGGCTATGCGTTCAAACGAGTTCGGTGATGCCCTAGGTGGCAGAAAGCCGTAGCACATTTTATCAGTGTTTACAGACGGCCCCAAATCAATTGCTGTCCACAAGCACTCTCCTCAGCATCGAATTGCGCACCCCGATCCTCCAGCATTTTATTTGTGACAGATGATTTACCCCCTTCCCCATCGCCGTCCAACGGCTAGAGAGGTACGATCTTCTACATAGTGTAATGGGGATTTCCGCTCTCAACATCGGTATCCTAGGGTCAGGTGACCGAAGCCTAGCAACAAGGCTCCTATTTGGTTTCAGGAGAATAAGTAGCGTTCTTTCTAGATTATCAATTCAACATGCATGTTCCCCCTTTATGAAATGATCCCCTGAGGCTGCTGAGGTTGCGGTATTGGTATACTGCTTATGAAAGGTTCTGTTATTCGTTCTGTTGTTGGTTCTGTTGATTCTCTATAGCGTCACGCTTGCCTATCGTCTCCTTGCACTCTGCGAGTGTGGTGGTGTTGTCTCGTCGCGATCGACCCGTCTGCCAACGCAGACAGCCTACGAGCATTCCCATCTTACAATAGTTAAAAGAGATATTCGGCCTAGGTTCTTTGCTTCGACAGAACCTACTCGACCACGTCTGGAGCTTCTACTCGGTAGCAGTCCAACAAACGTCTGTTCATCGAATCGCTTTGTCAGGTCACGCTGGGAACAATCGTTTACGGACACAACACTCGTAGTATCGCCAGCCCTCAACTTTCGGTCACCCCAGACCTCCCCTGGGGGGACTTTCTCTGGTTTCCTATCCAGTGTCACCACCCAGAAGGCGTATGGGGCCAGAACCGCGTCCTCTTCCGGTGTCTTTTGCCACGACCTCGTTAAGGACTGCAACGCCCGCTACTCTATTATGTAGTTGATACAAGTTGGCGGGTCCTCGTCGTAATCTCTTCTCTCTTCCTACTCGGACAGCTGAAGTAGTTAGTTCGAGGGTCTTTGTCTGTGGCTGGCTTGCTGACTCGAATCCATTCTCAGGTATACTAGACCGGTCGGGGCTACGACTGGATCTAGTATCGTAAGGGCTACGAAAGTATCCCCTAGGGTTTGGGCGTACTGCGAGTTCTGTTCCCGCGGTTCAGGCTCTTCAGGCTGAAATATGTCCATTACGGATAACAATGTATTGGTTATGGCGTTTTGCGGTAGGGTCATTTGTAAATTGCGTTGCTTCAGTGAGGATTTGATTTTTCCTCAAGTCTAAGACTGCTTATTGAAAGCTGACCCTCGAAACTGAGAGGAAACATCTAACATACTCCTGAACTAGAATGGAACCTGTTGTTGCAGTAAATGCTATCATCAACGGAAGCCGCATCGCGTACGGTATTCACGGCACGGGACAGCCTCTCGTCCTCTTGCACGGAACACCTTCTCCCTCTCTTATCTGACGCAATGTTATTCCCCATCTCACAAAGAACGGTTTCAAAGTCCATATCTTTGACATTTTGGGATACGGGCTATCGGAACGACCTTGGGACCAATCCATTGACACCTCGATCTCAGGCCAAGTTTCCATTCTCGAAAGTCTCCGGGCTCACTGGGGACTCGGCACGTTCCATCTTATTGCCCATGACATTGGTGGGGAAGCGCTCAACGATTTGGCATTTTATTCCCTCAGCGGCTGCAATAACTGACCATGATTGATGTTGTGAGCTTCGATAGCTACCCTTCTAGGAGAACGGAGGAGCAGATGAAGAACGAGGTAGATCCGCTTACGAAGACGAGCGATAAAGGGCATCGCTCGCATTTCAAATCTTGGCTACTTTCAGCGGTGCAAAACAAAGACAAATTTGAGGAAAGCAGTCTAGACACTTTCCTAGACTATATATCAGGTCCTGCCGGCCAAGGTAGTCTGTTCCAACATCAGGTGCGACATTACGACCCTAAGCATACTATGGATATTGCCGACAGATATTACGACCTTGCCAAAATTCCCGTCAAGTTGGTTTGAGGCGCAGATAATAAGTGGCAGGTTGTGGATTGTGGTCACAAGCTCAACAAGACTATTCCAGGATCTGAGCTAGATGTGATTGAAAACAGCGGGCACTTTTCTCCGGAGTATCAGCCCGATAGGATTGGCGAGATTTTGGTCTCTTAAGTTGATCGCTGTCGGCCTAGAATAGAAAAAGGTTTATACACTTAAGTTTCAAGCGACATATACCGAGGATGTATAGGCGAGGCGATGAAAATATGCAATAGAAGGACAAAACCCCTTTTAGCAACAGAGACAAGGCATTTCACTCAGTGAAAATAACCATTGACGATTCATGTGTGCATTGTGACTGGGTGCCGGGTCTAGAAAGAAAACGATAACAGAATTCAATTTTTGAGGTGACCCGTTTATGATGAAAGTATCGTTAAGAATAGTCGGTTCGGTTTATTGTTTCGGAATAATTGCGACATTTCTGGGTGGCGACCCTCAAAGTTGGAAATGACGTACTTTTCGGAATATGTAGTTGGTCGAGGAGCTTGGCATTAGCGTCATGTAATTGACCAACCATAGTCTTTTCGCGCGTTAATTATACTCTCCGCCCGCTGACTATCACACAGTAGGGCTCGCCAACACATCAGCCACAGGGACACCACAAGATTTGACCCAGGCTATGTTACCGCCTTATTGATGACAGAAAATCAGTACGCAAGGGCGATAGTAAAATTGTTGGCAATGAACAATCCAGATGAATTGTCAAAGAACTGTAAATTAATTTACTATGCAATTCATTCTATGTGAGATCACGATTATTGTCTGAGCGATACTGATTAAATATTGTACGGCTTGCTTCACTATACGATTCCTGAATTTTTGTCTTGGCTAAGTCACAAAGTATATACCAACCAGTGGACATGTCATTAATTTCTGTTAATCATTTGGCTTTGTGTCTTTCTGGTTATCTTGTCAAAATTCTAGAGAGAGTAAATGCCCTATACTTCAGTAAGGTTTCCGTTTAAAGGCTTGACAGCTCGCCAAAAAGCTTGAAATCAAGTAACGGCAATTCAGCAGGAAACTTGTCACTACCTTTGAGATATAAACTCCATGTAGGTAACCATTGATGGAGCTTTCGTAATCGATGAATCTTGCCACAATGTAGACTTTAGCTACCTTAATTGAGACATCAGCCGTCCCACCAGGGTCTGGATAAAGGACGGTTAAGGTCGAAGCCAAATACGAACGAAGCCTTCAGTGAGGGAAAGGCCGCTAACCCTCTGGAGAGGATTTCCGCGGAGACCTGAAATATAAAGACTGGCACCCCCATGTACATGCTTGGTGTTTGCAATGATTCAACACCATTATCACTTGACAGATCTAGAATTGCGGTTTTATTGCCTGCAGAGAGAAATCATCCAAGCAATCATATTGATACAATGCCAATAAAGTTCCAAAAGCATCCAACAACACTGCTTCCAAAAGAAAAGCCAATAGCGCTGCGCTTGATTCTAAATTATTTGTGACAATGCTCCGCCCCCGTACAAATTCAACGCTTTCGCCGATTTTACGTTTCGAAAACATTGCACAGAATTGTTAGATTTCATTTTCCAAGCAGGAGCCTACCGTGATATCTACGTTGACTGCCGGAGTTATTTCAACAGTGCAGTGAGGAGCCGTCATTTATCTGGTGTGGGAAAGGAGCGGAACTATTTGTTATCCACATTTTTTCTCCCTGGGTCTCCCAAAGAACTCAATCTATCAGCGAGAGCTCGAAGGGAGTCACTCGAACACCATCACGTTATGAAATGTCCACCCAGGCCCGACCAATTGAATACAACTCACCAGTACGTCTACGAGCTCTTAATCGACAACATACTAGTAGCATTCATCGCAAGCTTTCCATCGTCCACGTCATGTCACTGTCTTCCCGAATTTATTTACCACCAAGCATCCTATCGGCACGCGGGTTCCTCGGATCAGCTGTATCCGAAGCAACACTCGCTGTAAGTATTAGAGCTATGTCATACCGGTCGCAGCATGGTCATTGAGGCTCATTTTGGTTAAAAACTAACTAACATAGATAACAGAACCGGCCGAGGTTGTTCCGGCACGTATTCGACCCCTATAATTGATGAGCCCTACCATACAGCACCATTTCAGGAACTCGAAAGGCCCAGAACATCAACTGAGATCAAAGCTTCAACAACGCGTAAATTCAAGAAAGCTCGGTCTATTTTAACCCGATTTAGACGCCGAAAGTGACCTTGGGACCAAACTGAAAACCTAGGATGAATCCCTGAAAAGGGGCAAATCGGGAATTGCATGGTGAAAACACCAATCGGCATTTGCCTTTTCAGCTCTTGTTACAAGGTTAGACGCGCTGCTCTATATTCTTTAGTTTCTACCGACTTCAAGTCCTAAATGGGCAGCGCTAGGTAAGTAGAAACAGTGGAATGATTCACCATCGTGTCCTTGGGATGCTGAGGTATAGAAAAATACACATAGCTTGATGGTTGTGCCTTGCTCCTCGGGACTGATCAGCTATCGGTGCCACCCTCTATTTAATTGACCACCTAGGTAGTTGGTTACTGCAGGGAACGTAAAAATGCCCTAGCCAGCAATTACTCCATTATCGAGTGTTTCGAGTATCTATTGATTCCCTTGTTCATTCATTGAAACTTTCACATCACATTTCCGAGCCAACCGGCGCCGCAACTTATCCTCGCTCCCATAAGAGTTCTTCTTCGTCAACTCACTCCACTTGTTAAGAATTTATATCGTGTCCTCCTAGCCTAGTAAATTTTCAATTTCTCCCTTTGCAAGCTTAACTCGGCTTGATCTCATCTGGTTCTTTCGCGATATAAAACGTGTACTTCTGCATCAAGCCGTAGCACGCCTATATGTCCGACACATCAAGGTATCCGGGTTAAAAACAACCCTTCCAAGACAAGCCCGAAGTGATTTGTGTTAATAGTGTTGAGACTGCCTTTTGTGGGAGACGAGAATGGTTGATGACTAACGTAATTCCCGTCCGAGTGAGCCCGGCCGTGTGGGCCACCCAAAAAGACATAGTAAATTCTATTTTCTGTCCCTCTATATTTCAACCACCAATTATTAATTTTGTCTGGTTTTAAGTATATGTACTTTGTTATACACAACAAACAATATCTCTTGATACTAAGATATTCAGCTCAATATTTAATTATATTACTGTAAAATACAGAGTAATTTAGACATTCAAGCGATGAATGTGTATACCTCCACCTTTAATTGTCTTATTGCATTCATACTGTATAAACTATTTACAAATATTATTCAGACTAGATAGCTCTAATTGCCTACTTAAATTACTCGGGGTTGTTGAGATATGGAGTTGTAATTTATTGCATTTACTATGTGTTTTTGGGTGGCCCACACGGCTGCGTGGCTCACTGGGCGGGAATTACTTTAACGTCATCCACCGCCTCCCCTATTCTTTATGATCTGGGTTGAGCAGAATATCCTAGTTTTACCATCAATCGCTTAACAATCGACTCCATCAGCTTCCATTATTTTTTGAACCGTCACACCGTTCTCACGCCTGTCGGACCACTACCTGCCTGCTCTGAGTACGGCTACGAAGAGTGAAATCTCGCCTCTATCCCGTTCTTGTGTATTTGAACCTCTTTTTCCTGGTCGGGTTAGTGGATTACTGTCAACCAATCTCCGTTCTCATCCGATCGTCGACAAGTGGAGCCACACTGTCATGATCACGTGATACTACCTGTTCAGATTGTTGTGATATATCGTATTATATCGGAATCAACCCCTAACAATACGGAATTACCGGGATTGATTGAAAATCAATCCGGAAGTTGGATGGTGTATATAAACACTCAAGTTTTCTGTCTTCTACAGAATACAAGTAATCTTCCTTTGAATTACAACACCATCAAGTACGGTTAATGAACAGCCTCAAACTGTCCTGATTCGATTGACCTACCACCGGCACTTGGCTTACAAATTGACCTTGTTTTATGACCCAAATTGCCATTTTCCCCCCTGCCCCGTTGATTGTACGCTGATGTAGCTGTCTCATGAGATTTTTGCCCCCTACCTCTCCGCGGTGCGATCTGGAGGTTGGTGCCTGAGGTGTCAGCGCTCACCGCTCTCGTAGTAGATAGACCTTCCCTTCTGTGAATCTAGAAACAGCATCATCAACTCTCCGTTTCTTTTGCTCTCCCTTGCGATCCGCGATTCCAGGTATTTGAGATGTCTTTCTCCGATTTTCCCTGAGTCCAGATCATCTTCAAGACCCTTCCTCTGTCTCTTCTTCCTTTTCACAATTTGGAACTCCCGTCTACGATAGCACTCAATTGAATTCTTCCTTCGTTTCTTTTTCTTAACCTGGCACCTGGTCATAGGTTTGAGAGCTTCCGCTGTGTACTAGGGAGGTTGGCATTACCCTCACGAAAATGTTGGCAGGGGATATAAGCAGGTGGCACCCCTCTTTCCGCGCGTAACAGGCTATCAGTGCCATCAAGTCTGACCGGGTGCCAGGTCAAGAAAGAAAACGATAACATAATTGAATTTCAGAGATAAGTGGACGGGGGATCCAAATTGAGAAAGGAAGAAGAGACAGAGAAAGAGTCTCTATTTATCTACACCAGTCTACATCCTGTGTCACTTGTCGAGCGTAGTCTTCAAACGCAGTCTTCAAACGCAATCCCGTAGTCGGTCGCATTCGGATCATGTCGGAGGTACTAGGGTCGCGGGGGTCTGAGTTGTTTGAAATGCTGCCATGACGGGATCCCGAGACAATGCGTGGTTCCGTGTGCGTAGTTCGGTTATGCGCATAACGGGTTCCTGAGACATTGGTCTCGTCATGTGTGGTTCCGTAATCCTGGTTGCAGGCTGGTCACATCAAGAATCTTATTGCAACACTGGGATTTGTAAGGGTCATCGTCCACCATGATCGAAGTTGACCTTGCCGTATTTGATTCAGGTAAGCGGCAGATGACAACTAGGAAAAGAACAGTTCTGGTTGAACGACGCATGTATAATATCACAGCTAGAGGACTGCTCAGGATGTGCTGAAAATTAACAAAAAAGAATTTACACAAAGTAGCTTCGCAATGGAGAGTATCCATCATGATGTAGGACATGCTATTGCCTAAGTAAGTTAAATCAAAGAGTTCATACCGTCAGTATTCCAGCAGGTTTTGAGCCTGGCGGCTGGCTTAGGGAGGAGACCCGCTTATGAAATATGTTTTTCGACATCCTGACTTGTGAGTCTAATCAACTGATTGGTCCGAAGATGAAAAGTTACAAATTCTGCGCTAATTTTACCACACCTGCTTTGGAGCTTGTACAAACCCGTAAGATCAGAGAGGTTAATGAGGATACGACAGCTTCCTACCCAAGCCAGACAGCAAGCTTTATTCATAGCCAAATTCTTTTAAAGGAAGCATATTTCAAAAGTCGAGCAACGATATAGGCCACAGTTAAATTTTCAGATCCCGGCTTCTACTGTTTGAACCGAAGGCGAAAAGGATTTAAGTAACTGCAAATAGTGGCCTGCCAGGTCACTCACAGGCTTCAGGCTCTGAAGGACAGCGACAAGCTTCTGTATCTCGGACACATAGGAAACTGCCGAAGAGCAATGCCGACTGAGGAAATCTGCAGCGTGATACATCGGAAACGGTGATAATGGATGGACCTATCTATGTTAGTCAAGGTCCGTCAGCGGGACATGAAATAGCTAGCGTACCTTGAAAATACTTAGCTCATCTACATTTTGCGCCAGCTTGACAATTTCTAAGGCGGCGACTCGTGCCTCTTCTTCATATGCAGGCATAGACAGTTGGTTTACGCTTTCGCTTGGTGAAAAATTCGCGATATTGTGAAGATAGATAAGAGCTGTATATGCCACCATGATTGCAAAAAGGCGCATGGGGTCCATGATGATTGGAGACGATGATAACATCCGAGATATTCTTCCGAGCTTTCGTATCAGGAGTGCATGAAGCCACTCATGCCGATCCCAAAAATCCTGTGTTGCGCCACCATAGAGGGGCTCTATGGCTGTCTGCTGTTTATGTGATAGACAGCGCGCACAGATCGTTACAAATATTATCAATTCATTGAAGGCAGGGATATTGTCCTCGGAGTCGGTTGAAATAGCTTCTGAAAGGAACCCACCAAAGCCGGGTTCGCCGTTTTGAAAGTCGGTCTCAGACGCAGGAAGCCGAGTGCATATCTAGAGCATCATGTTCGTTAATCTTCAATGTCCTCAAAGTTCAGTAAATTAGCAACTGTAATCAGTGCATACCACGAGTTCGTTAAATGCCAAGGGCCAGTTATTTCGAATGCCCACCAAACGATCGAGACAATATGCCATCCAAAATGTCCGTCGCTGTTCCTCCGTCTCGATATCGTTCCGTAAAGACCTTCCGTTACCTTCTATAAATTCGCCTTCATTATCGATACTGTGAAGGCCCATAAGCTGGAGTAATCGGGATGCGCGTCCAATACTCATCCAGGCTCGCCGGTAATAGGCTCGTATGATTTCGTAGAACGCGATAAGAGTCCATGCTTGCGCTTGCTCGACGTCAACTGAGTCAAGACCAGTACCCTGAAGCTCAATATTTTCAAGCTCTTTCCTTGCTTGGAGGTAAATCGTGCGGCCGATGTCTTGATACTGCGCCGATAGCGATGCAGCTAAGGCTTGCATGGCAAGATGCAGGCAGACTCGGGAACAATTGAAGCCCCGGCGATGATACAAGGAAAGAAATCGACGCCTGTGAAGAAACGGCGTAAAGGGGTGAATTCGTTCGAAATATAGTTGATTACTGTGTCCGATTAGAGATTCTTCAAACTTTTCCTTAAATCCGTAGACTCATTACTCACAGCTCTGCCCTTGTTAAATCCGACACTAATTTGAGTCCATGACTGTGCACTTCGGCTTGAGCGCTTGAAGGAAAGCTTGCATCATGATGACTAGGCGAGCTAGAATTTGTGTGTAGCGCCGCATCCTCGTTTACGGGAGTTGTATTTGCTTTCCCTCCAAAATCAGGTTCTGCATCATGCCTACCATCACGTTCGATATTCCCTGCTCCGCGTTCGTCCAACTGGCGTTGTAACTCGGCTACAATTGCGCCAGGGGTTAGCAAAAACCAATTCCCTTTTGATATAATTCAACTTACTGGCCTGGAGTCGAAGAGCTTTGAGGAGACCTTTTTTTGGCCCTCTCGCCGACCGCATCGTGCTGACCCTGCATATGATACCTGCTTCGGTGCAAACTCCGCAATGCGGCAGGCTACCGTCACAGCGAAGCTTTCGTTTCCGACATTCATCACACGCCAAATGGCATCGCTCATTTCGCGATCGTCGATCTTGCTGCCCACTCAAGTTGGCAAGGGGCATGTTGATGACTTTCTCTTTATTCAAAGGATTCAGTGTTAATGGAAAATCAGCGTGTGTTTAGCATAAATCACAAATATAACTCACCTTGGGGCTTAAGCTTAACTCACCGCCTACGTGTGGTGAAAGGCGGCAAATCTTCCTGTGGCCAACATAAGTGAACGTCCCGGTTCGCCACTGTCTGCTCCGCTCCGAATCCCCACCCGTCGATCTGCCATCGTTATTGGTTGACAGTAATAAAGTAGAGGAGTCTATGAGTCACAGCATCATGAGCTCTCCTTGTATTAGTAGTCTCTTTAGATGTCTACGCGTCTGCAGATTCTATTAATTGTATGAATTCAAGAACTGTCGGAAGCGGGAATTGTATATACACTAGTACCGAATGCGCCTAATGATGCCAAATTGGATGTCACGAAGAGTCTGATTCTGAACCTATCTCTCTATTCATCTGAGGTTTCTTGGCAGTCTGATTACCTAATCATGGTGGCCAGGGCTGTGGGTGGAGAATAAAATCCTTGGCGTATTGCACGGTTGACAAGAACGTACTATCGACATTGCAGCTCAGATGAAAGATGACGTGAAGTGAGATGATATCTCAGTCATCAAGCTTCCCCACCCCGTATTCATCTTCTGCAAGAAGTTTTTGTCCACCGGGAAGAAGGGCGGTGATGCCGGGCATGGCAATCTCCTAGTATAGTTGGAGTTCAGATGATGTGTATGGCTCTTCACAAACAGAACCGGCTGCTTCGCTAAAGCAGATAAGGCGCTTCTAGATCCGCCGATAGCGTGTGTTGGTGGAGGAAAGGAGATAGTAAAAGATCGGCCGATGGCTGGGACGTCGATAGGCCTCATTAGACATCGGCACAACCCACTAAAACCCATGACCCAACCCAACCCAACCCAGCCTACTGTGGGTTTTGGGTCCAATTCTTGGACCCATCAGCCGGGTGAAAATAAAACCACCGTCACTGGTCATGGAGGGTCAGTACATTCGATGTGGTCATCACGTGAGACAATTCTAATGGCATATTTCCCACAGATTCAGTAGAATGTTTAATAATGGGTCACATGAGGCAGAGATCAATGACCAATGATATTTTGTCAATTGAAATACGCGAATAACCCAATCAAATATATGATCTGGCTCACCGACTCCGCAAACCACTCAAAATACATGACGCCCTCATATCTTCCGTCGCCGCCCAATACTTTTCGTCCAATGTCACAAAAAAATTGAGGTTCACTTGGCTGAAGATTTTACTTTGATTGCTGAAAAATATCAACTGCCACCACAACTGAACATGCACTCACATCACGCCATTTCTCCAGGCGAATGGTCAGACCGAAGCCGATGTAAACTGGCATGTGAAGAATGTCGGAAACGTAAACTACGTTGCGACGGACAGGAGCCTCGCTGTGGCGTCTGTGCGGAATCTGGCGCCAGCTGTCGGTTCGTCTTAACACGATCAAACAGGGGGCCAAAGAAGGGGCTCATGAGAGCCCTCCGCATTCAAAATGGTGCGTATTTGCTTCACCAACCCTCCGTCCGTTCATCATTCTAACGAACAATCAGCTGAACTTCAGCGTCGCTTGAATGAGCGCCATATCGAGCTGGAAACCCCGGAGATATTGCTATGTTCAGGTCCCGATGAGCATTCGGCCACCGTGGGAGTTGACGGGAATATGTCGCCCGAGATCATGCAAAAGTCCTTCAGTCCAATGCTTCGGCAAAGCCCTGTCATTGACCAAGCGGAGCAAAAACTCACGCTTTTGTCTGATCTCGCTAAGTCTGATTTGTACGTGGCAAACTGACAGTCGAGAATCGCGAGGAAAACCATGCGCTGATTAATCTCAGAAATGAACTCTTTTTTGAAAGGGTTTACTATTTTGCACCCTTCATTCAGAAACGTCGATTCCTTACTTGGAAGAATCAAGTTGATCCCAAATGCTCTCAATTTTGCTTGCAACTTGCTATGTGGGCATTAGCTGCAAGAGTTTCGGCGCAGTACCAGGAGATAAGTAGCAAGCTATACGAGGCTGCAAGAGATGCGCTCGAGAAGTTCGAGCTACGCGGAACAGGTTTCAATTCTGTGACCATCGATCAAGCACAGGCGTGGCTTTTGATTTCATTTTATGAGTTTCTTAAGATGAATTACGAACGAGGGTGGGTAAGTATTGGGCGCGCATCCCGGCTGACTCAAATACTGGGCCTCCACGTCATAGATACATCTGACAAGATGATGGTAAGTGAACAAAGATATTTCACAGAAAGTATTGTAGAGGTTGAAGAGCAACGAAGGACATTTTGGGTCACTTATTGTCTGGACAGACTTATAAGTCTTCGGAAAAGTTGGCCAACTGCTTTCAACGAGCTAGCGGTACGTACCTATCTCACTCTTTTCATACGTCCAAAGACTAACTATTATGTGATTTAAGATAGGCACTCGCCTGCCAACTTCAGAGACACATTTCCAGGAGGGTGAACCCTCATTTGGGACATTTCTTTCTGAAGCTTTGACTACAGATAGCTATGAGTCTCTATCGACGTTTGACGAGCTAATAATTTTTGTCACCATTGGCAGTCGTTGTCTGGCGCATAAGCAGCAATCCATGATAGAGCTAGTGTACGGCAGTGGTTCAGATGATTTCCGAGATCGACAGCAATGGCTTCATTCGCTGTTGACGAAGAGCACGCTTATCATCCCAAGGGTATCTGAGAGCCTTCCTACTAACCCCGATCCCATGCACACCTTCGCCAGCATGGTGGCTCATACGATATCAATGTACTTTTACAAGATACAACATTCGTCTCCACTTAATCTCGTGGAGACATCCCTTGATGAGAAACTTGAAAGAGAGGCTTTATCGGCTGCGTACAAAATTGTCGATCTTTTACAAGCCGTCGAAGAGCTTGGGATATTCAAGGTATTCATCCGATCCATGTTTTGAAGAACGCCTTGAGCCTAAAAATTTCTAGATAAATCCATTTGCTCCGTATGCGATGTATTCGTCTATAAAAATGTTACGACTGAAAGCTAATTCAAACGTGTGCCACGACTCGCAAATACGAAAGCTGATAGAGTGTCTTCGCAACTTGGAGCCAGTGAATGATATGGCCACTTATTACTTGCAGCGTCTGGAGTTATGAACAGTTCCATCTCTGGGCAACATCTTCATTCTGCCCAGCAAGCAACAAATGTTGAATTTCGTGTAATCAAGGGTAATAACATTGGCTATTTTTATCTATGGAGATCTTAGGATTTCAAATGAAAGTACACCGAGTAGACTGAGTGCAGCTTGTTGGGTTATCGTTCTACAATTATATACATTATCTGGGTTTCAGTTCAAGTGTCGGGGGCTAAAACTTAGGACAAAAGCGACTTTTCTTGCGAATCCTTGAGCTATAAATGAAAAATAAAATGGGAATGGGAATCTTTGCCACGGTGATCAAGCCCAGCAAAGTGGAGGCCCAATCAACGCCGAGATTTTGATACATCTGCGAAGCAAACAAAGGAAATGCGCCGCCGAAGGTTGAACGAAAGAGGGTATTAGCTGCGAGCGCAGAATTTGCCAATAGCATGTAGACATCGATGATATAATTCAAACCTTGTAAGAAAATTACCAATATCCCCATGCCAATGGGAATCCCAGCAACTGCCTGTGGAACCCAAGAAACGTGCGGATTAGATCTCCACCCAAACAAACGCAGACCAGCTGGTAGCATTACCGAGGCAACCATAATAGGAACTAGCCGTTCTTCTGGAATAACGTGCCCATTATTCGCCAATTTGCGGGCAAATCTTATTTTAGTGGCGTAAATGATGAGACAGACTCCCAGAACATTTCCGATCAAGATCCCAATGAAAAGAAGTGCGGCGACTCCTTGGCCCCTCCACTAGCGCACTTGGCCAAAGCTTATCGGATATGTTTCCAGAAAAAGATAGAGAATTGCGTATACCAGGGCCAAATAAACTGTAATGAACAGCAATATCGGCTCATGTATCAACATTTGGAATGGCCGAAGTAAATAATTCTTGCCAAAGTCTTGAATTGTCAGTGGATGTTCGTCCAAAAAAGCATGGAATGCCAGGTTATTTGTATCTCGGTGAAGATGTGCAGCCCGTTTCTGTAGCAGTACCGGGCCATAAGTCTCGGGAATTACCATCAGGCCTATCAATCCAAAGGGTGTAGAAGCATTCAGTGTGATCCACGTAGTCCAACGCCAACCTAAATTTGAATCAACGATAAACCCACCGCTAATTAGATTCTTAGTCACAATTAACTGATAGAGGGAGATCCCCTTACTTACACAATTAGGCCTAGTATTGGTCCAAAGAAAGTGGCCGAAGCGAACAGGGCGATGGCGATGGCGCGGTCAACGGGGCTCCATAGGTCGGCCATGGCGCCTCCCACCACGGCGAGGGGCGAGCAACCGAAGCACCCTTACAGGAATCGAGAAGCCATTATGGTTTCGACATTATGCCCAACAGCTACAGGGATCTGGAAATTGGCAGACACCGCGTATCCAAGAAAAAGAGGAAGGCGACGACCGTAGCGCTCATTCGGCGGCCCCCAGCAAAGCGGACCGAGTGTAAAACCGAAAATGACAAGGCTGGTTCCCAATGTCATGACTTCTGAAGACACTCCAAATTCATTTGCCGTAGTACGAGTTGCCGCCGAAAAAACACTGCTGGCAAAAGTGACCCACATCGTCATTGCCGACATTGCAAAGGTGATAGTCCATTTTCGCAACGTTGTGAAGTTCTGAGGGTGATCAGAATCATCAAGACCTACCCAATCAACATGATTTGGGCATTCAAGGCTTGAGGAGTCTTGTGCATTACTATGATGCAAGTTTTGGGCGTTTCCCAAATGAGGGTGCTGGAACCAGGCGACATTCAAGCTTGGGTTATTTTGCTCCATTTGAGAGCAGAAGGGCATCATTATGCATTTGGACTGAAATTTGGTGCCGGATTGGATATTTATAGGGTTAGGTCTCTCCACAATAGACTAGACGCTATATCTTAGGCCTTCTACATGGTTTGTTCTGCCTTACGACTAGTATATTTCACTTGGACATAGTGAATATTGGCTTGCCATGACTCTCCTAGTAGACTCCATCCGTGCTATACGGCTTACATTACAGGGTATTGTAGAGCCACTTGACAGAAAAGCAATACATCACCGTTATACAGCCGGCATATTTATTAAATCTTATCGGAATATCTATTCGGCAAATCTAACGAAATAAACTTTTTATCCAAAAGTTTGTTCTGCGTTTTCCCTTTGTACATAATTATATTCCGACTCAATGCGTTATAATACAATTCAAGAGGGCTGATGCTTGGCTACATACGTGTCTGACAAGTCCTTCCCGCTATATGCAGGAATCATCTTTTGCAGGTTTTTTTGCTCAAAGTTTGCAATGGCGCTTCCTTTTTTTGCGGTACATATCCATTGGTCTATTTATTTTTCAAAAATAGGAAATCGACTAGACACGCCATTTTTTAAGATTCAATACACCGCTTTGAACCAATGCTGCCGGTTTGGGTAGTGTTATTGTGCCAGGATAAGAGACATCATTGAATGGCTGATCATGCAAACATCTTTAACACCCTATTCTTCTAGCTTAGTGCATGGTAGTGGCACTTCCTCTTTTAGGGTTTCTACAGCATCTAGCCATGAAAATATCATAAGAATGTCGTCGCGTGTTAAATGTTCATCCGCTGATGGAAAGAATGGCCTTAGATGCTACCAATAAATACAATTTCTTCTGTGCGAAGCACCACTGCTAGATGAGGGAAACCTAATAGGCCAGAATATAATAAATAGTACAACTGAAGTCTCAGGAAGGAAGATATGATCATTTTGTGACGTTGGACTTTCTCGCAGTCAAAGCGTAATCAGCAACTAGGTCCTCGCGAACAGCAAACGTGACTTAACGTGATATTGTTTGAGCCACTTCGTCGTTGTCAAAGGCAAAAGACACACTTTGTAGAGCTCTAGGGATGGTCGACTTCATTATGTCATCCATAATCTCTTCTCCTTTCTGATCGTCGGAAACGGAGTCAAGGATATTGTCGAAAACACTTGCATGTCCAACAAGACGACGCAGGTCTCCGTCTGACTGGAGAGCCTCGTAAAAGAAACGTTTTTGCGATATTTCCATCACATCAAATAACAGAGCCAGTGAATGGATCTTTGCCCCGGGAGTTTGCGAAAGGTCATGTTCCATGTCAATGTTATTCTGCATGCTTCTTCCAGGGCGCAAAGAGATCAGGATTTGTTAAGTTTGGGCAAATGCCGACATGAAGTTCAGAATATCAGATTAGAGTGGTTCAGGCTCTAGATTATATTCCGAGTCGAGCAATCGATCCCTCTTTAAATCGAATAATTCCTGCCCTTCACCGCACTGGTGAAGAAAATATTATGGGGGAATGAGGGTTTCGTTTCCTTAAGATGGAAGGACTAAAATAATGAAACTATACGCCCGATTCATTATTCCGAAGGGACAGACATGATGAGAATGAGATAATCTAGCACAGGAAGCTGGAGGCACATGGTGTGACATGTCGAATGCCCACCTGCGCATTCGTTTCCACATCCTTTCTCGTTCTTATACGCCACGCGCCTCTTGAATCTCATAAAAGTTCCCGGAGACATATGGGTATTTATTTTTATCTTAGTGTACACGGGGCCACTGTATCCATGGTTCTTCGTTTATCACAAGGAAACAGCGTTAATAAGCTTACTAAGAGGCTTCTGCGCCCGCTTCAGGGAAAGCCTTCCTGAACTTAGAGGACAGGGGGTGGGTTCTATTTGTTGGTCTGCGGCAGCCTTGTCGGAAAGATAGAACAAAATTGAGATAACGTCATCCAGCGGCATTCTATGTGTTTAGATCAAAAATCTCGAGGTCAGGGAAATCAGAAGTGTCATCCAATGGGTTAAATGGGAAGTTTCTGATAAATAATTGCAAAGGACGGAGGCGGAAACCGGCAACGGAGATGTGAAATCAAACCCCCAGTCATGTGAGAATGGCATACACCCTGAGAGGAATACAAGATAGTCAAGTGGTCAGTCGGTCTTATTCATGGAGACTATGCTGCGTAAAGCTATGAATCCACCCTCAAAAGGACCTAACCCAAGGGACCTGGAGCTTTGGGGCCCAAAGCTCAGCGGTGAAGAAGGCTTATATATGGGCAGTATTTGGACCTACCGACCCTAAAGCCCTCTTTTTTCCTGACCCTCTAAAGCCCAGAATTTCCCTCGTACGATTTATCTCAAACTTTCATAAGTTCTAATCTTATATATATATTATCTCTAATTTTATTCTTAGCCTCTCTAGTCTTCTGTAGCAGTTGTACGACCTAACCCTAAATTACCCAAACCCCTTAATTTGTTTTGATGGGGTGCGACCGGGAGGGTCTACTCTGGGGATCTAGACCCACACTCAAAACTTTTTATATAGTGAAAGATGGGAATGCTCGTAGGCTGTCTGCGTTGGCAGACGGGTCGATCGCAAAGAGACAACACCACCACACTCGCAGAGTGCACGGAGACGACAGGCAAAGCGTGACACTATAGAGAATCAACAGAACGAACAACAGAACGAATAACAGAACCTTTCATAAGCAGTATACCGATACCGCAGCCTCAGTAACCTCAGTAGAACATTTTCATAAGGGGGAACATGCATGTTGAATTGATAATCTAGAACGAACGCTACTTATTCTCCCGAAACAAAGCAGGGCCTTGTTGCTAAGGCTTCTGTCACCTGACCCTAGGGCACCGATGTTGAGAGCGGAAATCCCCATTACAATACGTAGTTTGGGAACGCTATAGATTCACGACTTACCTGAGTATCCAAGCATGTATGCCATGGTAATCCAGTACAGCTTTCCCAGCCCACCAAGGTCCCCCGCAATGCTGACCAGCGATGTCGAAACGATAGGTATCTCTAGATTGGTTAAGAACAGGCACAAGCAGAGTCTTTGAATATTGTTAGACTATGGATAGTTGTCCTCCGACAAATTGGATGGGAGTAGCACGTACGTAGCCGTAAGCAGATGTAGTCGAGCCCCTCTAAGGTATTGTGTAGCTGGGCTGTCGGCTACCTCGCTTGCGGCCTGGCTATCTGATAATATATGACTGCCAGCATGCCGGCTATCGTTCAGCTTCCCTAGTTGTTCTTTCATTGCCACTACTAGGGCGCTCAGGGTCCACGAGATTTAAACGTTTTGAAGGGGCAAATTGATGAGAAAGACTATAAGACTAGTCACTGTGTATATTGAGCAAGAAAGTGTAGTAGATATATGTACATACGGAAGTGTAATAGAGTATAGAGAATGAAGAATGGTCCGAAGCAAAAACAGTAGGCGAGCAAGACGGCATGTTTTTTTGATGGTCTCGCACTCACTTCTTGATTGCACCTAAATGGCCTCGCGCTTGGTCCTTGATTGCACTTAGTCCATTCACCAAGCGCTAGGATACAGCAAATCAGAACTCGATAGGTGGGTCTGACCCCCAAGGCTGAGCTACGAAATCGCTGAGACTGGCCTGTGCATAAATTTTGGGGGCTTGTTTGGCTAGTACTGTAAGTGTAGGAATACTACTGAAAGCACTGAACAGCGGGTGGCGAGGAGATGAAAAACGAGAGGATGGATCCCCAACCACCAGGCCATGATGGGAACCAGAAACCATTCCAAATCATCCCCAGCCCGTTCGCACCATCAACCCCCGAGCCATCCGAACCGCCCCACACCGCAACGTGGAACCGCTCTTCCATATCTCGACCACCTACTCAACCATCGCAGCGAGCAGAAAACTCACTATAATCGCGCCATGTGGGCAGCCTAACATCGCGACCGGCAATTAGGCCACGACAGGCCCCGGCGAGGCTCTAAGTTCGTTCAGGAAGTGTTACACTCAACCTGTACGTACACGGTTACATATAGTAGTGGTAGGCTGCACATCGCTCAGCGGGTTGGTTTACCCATCTAGACCAAAAACGAATCCGTTCTCATCCACTAAAATGAGGTTTATAATCAACTTAGCGAGGGGTCAGCGTAAATGAAATCCAACTAACCGACCAACTGTATGTGCAGAGCAGTTGGGAGGGGGGGGGGTCTAATAAAGGACATGGGCCAAATTATTGTGTACTTACTGTACAGTAATGCCTTTATCCATAAGAGATCTCGCGTTAAGATGCCGAAATAGGAAGCATTGAGCGCGACACTAGGTGTTAAAACCACGCCCCTTAACACCTTACAGAAACACCCTCTTTCCTACTTGAGGTTTAGCGCTATATTCGTAAAATTAGACTGAGAGATCGATCCGATGAACCGGGGCCCCATGTCTCAATTATTCCGCCAATAACAGATCTCTTTTCATTCTACTAGAAACTGGTCGTGATAGCTCCAGGCTAGGCCTGAAGGATTTTAATTGTTCCGAAATCTATTTATGATGAGACACGTATGTTTGTTCCCTTCCCCCGCTCAGTCAACAACAAACACCAAGGCTAAAATGTTGGAAATGGGTGGAATTCCATGGCAATCAAAGGGTTGCAACTGTAGAAGGCGAAAGGTTAAGGTATTTTGTCTTCCCAGAATCATGGGGTGGTGATTTCTAAACACCTAGTCAGTGCGATGAACGAAGACCCGAGTGTGAAAGGTGTGTAAAGCGGAGGATCAAATGCCAAGGATGGAAGAGCCACTCCAATGAAATTGGAGCTCCCTCCATAGTGGAATTCAAAAGGCAAAAGAGCCTCACGATTGCGGTCAAGCCTACAGGTCCAGCGCAATACCCGATACTTCCGGTAACGGTCTATCCGGAACCGGCCATGCGTGATCAAGTTTTCGCATCCTTCATCCAGCGTTATTTTCCCAGTAAAAATTCCCCATCAACCCTTCGCTCCGAGGAGTTTTTAGTCTGCAACATCGGATGTCTACCCCAATAGGGTAGCATGGTTGATAGAGCCGTTTCCGCGATTTCCTGTCTCTTCTTGGGAAAAACTAATCGCGATACTCCGATCTTCCAGCACGGAGTGCAGCTATACAACAGTGCGATGCGACAAGTGTCTAACATGATACGTCAAGGTATTTTGACAAATGAGATCTTATACACGGTTGCTATATTCCAGGAGATCAATGTATGGATGATTGGTATTTCTCTCCATAGCTTCAGGCTAACGTATATAATTTCCCCAGGCACTGTATAAGGCACTGTATGCTCCGAACGGTCTAAGTGCTCTGGGTACCCATGTGGCAGGAATGAACACACTCTTAGAATACCTCAGGGTGAAGGAACAGAGTGATCCCATAATTGATGCGATCCATCACTACCAACAAAAGTTCAATATTGTACGTATTTGCACCTTTTCTTTCGCATTACCGATTTCATCTAACTCCTCCGCCAAGACTTTCACATCACCGGGGATGAATATCTCACAATCAGAGTACTATCTTATTATGCAGCCCACGAATGGTGATCCATTGCTTGAGATTCTAGGAGCATACGCAGACAGAATACCTCGCGCGATGCCCTATTGCTTTCAGAGGAGCATGAGATTGTCGTGTTGCAAAATTGCGTTATTCGCTATGTGTATAGTTTCACTCAACTATGTTGACAGCGGTAATCGCGAGAAACATGAGTGGTGCCGGGAAGTGATTCGGCATATAGCAGGTTGTGGGTTTGATATTGCTACTCATCTTTACGAAATGACCGGCTATCAGTGGAGGCGCCGATGGGTCGCGGCAGATCCGCTCACTTGTATATCTCTACGGCAAACAAACAGTCTTGTCTGTAGTTCGAATCTGGAAGTTTTATCCAAAATAAAGGAGTGTCGTGCTGAGAATGCATCCATTCATTATGGTGATGAACTGGTGCTCGGCAGGCGGCCTACAGTTGACTGAGTTCCCTTCTTGATCAATACATTTGAAAGTTTGTCATCATGTATTTTAGTTTCAGATGGACCCCGTATAAGCCAAACCAGGGATGGGTTTGCACAGAATCCGAAAGGCTCTCGTTTTCAGTCGGAAGATAAACCGAATTGGTGGGGTCTTGATAGGAAGTTCAGTAGCTGGAAGGATGCTTGTCTTCCATCTCCTCAAGATGGATACGATGAAAACCCCCGATCACTATCAGATATGCCTCACTCGGAGAACTAGCTACAAATCTCACATAGATTTGCCGTCATCTAGTCCGATTTTACTTCGATGCCACAAGTGGAATAGCACTATAAGTAAGGTTTATTATGTTGCTATGAGGTATGAGTTGAAGTACGGAATAGATTGCCTTCCGACATCCCCTCTTTCCTCGTTGTAATCACTTTCTATAGTCATGACAAAAGCCATAATGGAGGACAAGTCAAGGAGATGACCCGTCCGACAACGGCTGCAGTGAAGATCGTGCGAATTTGCAGGAACCGGAGCGCTACACGGCTCTCGACTAAAGGCGGTAAAGATGCTAATCGACAGGCAGGACACCGCGGTGATTTGTTAATTGTAGATACCCGATTCTGGCGACGACAGTCATGGCAAGATCAACGGGCTAACATACCTTGTGTAGTTAGATAATCTGGTCATATTGAGTGAAGCTACTTAAGCGCGGGCAGTTGACGGAGAATCGTTAATAAATGATAAAGCTTATTACGTAAAGGTCTAGCTTTACACAGAAATAAAGCAGTACTGAGCAGAAGGATACATGGAAGAAACCTCACAAATATAATCTTTTTCTACCAGGTAATAGTCGAAGATATCGGGCCTAGCGACAGAGCAAGGAGCTATGGCAGCACGGTCATAGCGTGATTAAAGTTACAGAATACAGCAGCCGAAGCCGATTTGGGCGTATTTGTATCAGGGTAGTGTAAATAATTGATTAAGACTATGAAGCTACGTAACCACGACCGTTGTTCTCAGTGTTCTTGGAGTGCGCTCTCGCAGATTAGTTTAGTAAGGCATAAGTCATAGTAGATTACTGTTTTAAAAACAGAGGTATAAAATAGGTAAGATACAAGCACTAAATGTCAATGTGCGAATTCGACCAGACGAAGCGGCTTAGTGTCGTCCCTTCTTAGCATCGTCGTCTAGCGCCTTGTCCAACTCTTTCTGATAGTCCTCTTGAGCCTTCCTCAGATCCCTCTGCAAGTCTTCCATGTCTTTTCGTAGATCCTCCATCTTATGATGAGAGGGGCCCTGCTGCATGTGTTGGGAAACGCGGTTGATCTTATCCTGAAGCTCTTCAACCTCCTCCTGTCTTTTCATCACAGACTTTCTATTGTGATGCAGCTGATTCAGTGGGTAGAATTGGCCCCGTGCATATGGACCTTGCGGGGAATATTGTTGATATGGACCCGCTTGCGAATATGGCTGCTGAGGGAATTGCTGCGGGTAGGGACCGCCCTGGGGAGGAAGGTTCTGTTCACCCTCATGCTGGTGCTTTTTTAAGGCGTCTTGAGCAATTGAACCGGCAATGGCACCACCGATAGTTCCGAGGAAGCCGTGATCAACCTTGTGGCCAGCGAAACCACCAACAGCACCACCGGCAATAGCACCGGAAAGACCACGCTCACCATCCTGGGCCTCACCAAGGGCGGTCTTTTCCTGCTGCTCGTTGTAAGACTGGGAGTATTGAGACTGAAGATAAGGCTCTGCGTAATGTTGTGGAAATGATTGCTGATACCCTTGGGGAGGGCCCTGGGGAGGCGTAGGCCCAGAGGCGCTGTACCCATTTTGAGAGGGAGTTCCATAGTACTCTGAATTCATGATTGCTAGCAGGGATCGAGAAGGTTCAAGGTAGATTTTTGAAAAGTAAAGAATTTTAAGTATTCCATCACCCTAGCAGAGGAGCAACAACCCTTCAAATATTTAGATTCAAGGATATCTTCTAGCCCTGAATGTCCACTTCCCTTTTAGGAAGTCACTGCGAAGAAACGTCAGCCAGGACAGGTCAACATCATGTGCTCCACATAAACTTTCCGTCCCGCAGTATTCATACTAAGTTCTTGTTCGTCATTGGGCTAAATTTTAGCCCCCACGTATCCACACCCTACTCATTTTGGCCCCTAAGTCTGGCATTTGCCGTTCGGTCTTATCCATGGCTGTTGTCTTGTTTTTTGTTTTCTTTTCTTTTTTTAATTCGGGATTTCCGTCAATATACATTTTTCAGGAGGATGACCGGATCGGCCAGCTCTCGACCAATGATGGGAAACCAGTGTCGGACCTTGTCTTCGATCTGCTGGCTATCTCGCATCTAATCGATCGCTGGCAGCCGTCGCGCTTAAACTGCGGGCGTCGTCGATAAAAGCCCTGCGGCCAATTCTTCCTGGAGGTCGGACCTTGAGGCTGGGGTCTGTAATCTGGAAAATCGAAGACCGTTGGCGCACGATAATCAGGGTGAGCGATCTCAGAAACTTAACTGGAAGAGGATAGCCGTCGTCTGCCAGCCGTAATTCATATTCAACGAGGGCTCGGTCCTCTTGCGGGGTCCCGGTCCTATTTCTAATTATTTTTCATTTCCCGCCACGTAAGAAATCATCACTCAAAGCCTCACTCGATATACAGGTCCTTGATCGTTGGAATCTACATGACACCCTTTATAAAATTACCACTCTGGGAGACGACTGCCCAGAGTTCGTTTCCAGATAATTCATCGATAGAACTTCTAGGGCGAAGGTGGTACCCCCCAGGAGCGAAAAAAAAAACATGGAGTCAGGAATGCAGATCAGACATATACGCTAAACGGAGGACCTGGACCCATATGGTGCATCTGGGTTACCCTGAATGCGAGGAAGCTATGTTTCTTTAGCTTCCTCGCGCTAAGGCATGTATCTAGAGTTGACTATAGCTTTCTTTGTAACTGCTCATAGCGCGTAGATTCCGTTTTCTGTCGGAGTCGATTATTCTCTAAACGTCTTTATCGCAGTAAGTCACTTAGTATGAATGGGCAGCCTATTCCAGCATTTTACACAAAAAGAAGCAATGTTTTACTTGCATATCGGAGTACCGAGTCTCCAGTAGTTTGACATTTGCTCCAGTAATCCTATTTGGAGGTAGCAAATGATCCCATCCGAGGACGTTCTGCATATACCGTGTATTGGCATTGCGAAAAAAAACCCCAAGTCGAACACGGCTGCCATGTGCAGCTGGCGAGACAGACATCAATAAAGACATCAACCAGCACTGCCCCGTTGGCTAGGATTCTTCCAATTGTCATATTTGCTATTCTAGCAAAACGTACTCGTTGGAAATACTGTTGGAGCCGGTTCTAAGCAGATTTATTTGCAGGAAAATCGTGCATCTACTAAAATGCGCGTTCTTGGATTATTGAAAGGGTTCGTGTTCGGAGACTTTGTCAACGACTGCAATAATGTCTCCGAGCCACGGAGCCAGCTTTAGTCGATCGTTGCACAGCACCACTAAAAGGAATTTCCCTAGTTCAACGCATTTGTCTGAACCATTGACTTCAAATTACGTACAAATCATAACTGTACTGGCATATGTTGAAATTTATTAGTCTGGAGAAGTTCTCTTCATCCTGGCCTTGACAGAACTGAAAACAACATACATTAAAGTGAGCAATTTAGTGCTGCTAAATCGTTTAAAGATCTCGATGGTTGTGAATTTCCGGAAATGAAACTTGAATTACACTAGAGAAAGATCCATCGGCAAGAAATAGTCGAATAGATTTAAGTGCTCAAAGACGCCATACAAGTTGCAAGAGCGAGGTAGCCTTTGGACGGTGCCCCGCTCGCCGCGCCTTTCCGACACAGACTAGACGCTTTGCTTCCAGTTGGAAGCTTTATCGTGAAGCGGGGGACCTTGAAGAGGACCTTTTTTGGCTCGTGGCCTCGGATTGCTGCGCTTTTCATGCCTCAGTTGGATAGCTGATTTGAAGTTGTTACACATGATTAAGCACCAAACCCGTGGTAGCCGATTTGTCACTTCACTCTCATCTTAATCACTTCCGAGAATTTTGCACCTAAACCACTAAATGAAAGTCTCCGTGCTCTGCTTTTACAAGTTTGGGCGTTTCAAAAAAGTCTCCGAACCTGCCACTAGAACAGTCGGTCCCGAGGCTGTCTCAAGGCCAACTTGTGGAAGCTTATAAGTATGGCGTCCATGATTTTGAAAATTCTCCTTTCGCATCTTTCCTTTCGCTCAAAAAGACAAATAATTTCTTCCAAACCTCGTTACCCTCGCTCCAACATGGCGCACCGAAGCTCTAAAATTGACGGCATTTCTAGAACTTTGTGGTTTTGGCCTAGTGGTATTTACCCTCGCCGAGTGGTTTACTATTTGAGGGCCAAGGGCCTGTCAGCCAGTGATCTTATGAACGCATCTATTACTCTCATTCCATGCTTCGTCAATCTCACGTCGCAAGATTTGAGCATGGAGTCGATTTCGGGGCTTGAGAAACGGCCCTCTGGATTTTCATTACCTGTCCTTCGCACCAGATATTCTTCGGGGGAATGCTACATTGCTGAATCTAGTAGCATTCTTGAGTATCTGGAGGATATTTTCCCTGCGTCACGCGGTTTTGCAAACCTGCGGGGAGAAGATTATGTCCAAACAGCCAAGATTCGAGACATTGTACAGCTGGTCAATGAGCTGCTGACTTGGTGCAATGTCCACGTGCGTCACTCTACTGAATTCAGCCTTCTGTGGAGTGGAATGACAAAAGAACAACAAAGTCTCATGGCCTCCGGATACGCGAGACTTCAGATCACAAAACTTTTGGATAGGTTACAGCTTTGGACTGAAGGAAACATTACAAATAGCCTTACAGGAGCGAAACGTCCCAATCTCGCGGATGTGACGGTTGCGGCAGCTAAGACCTCCATGGAAGAAATTTACGGAATTCAAATTTTTGAAGGGTTTCCCAAATTAGATGCCTGGTGGAATCAGTACAGCTCTAGCGAGTGGTTTGTATCGAGGAGCGAGATTGACTTGATTGAGACAGGCAGGCTTCAGATCCTGACACAAGGAGATGGCAATCAAAGCACCGAGAAGAAACCTTCAAGTAGGATGGGTTCATATCGCTATGGTGCACCTCGATGATCGAGATTTGAGAAGCGAGATTGCTGCTGGATTTGGGATGATTGATTCACCACGAAGACATGCAAGGCAGTATCTATAGTTTTTGATCATCCCAGGTAACTCTTTATCTCGAGAATAGACATCGCCAGAACCCATGTCAACCATGACCCAACCCAACCCAACCCAGCCCAAAATGGGTTTTGGGTCTAATTCTTATAACCCATTGATGGGTTTTGGGTTGAGGCCCTTAACCCAAAACCCACATGGGGACCCAGTGGGTCCCCATTTTGGTGTAAACAGGACAAATATGCCAAGCCTTCAAATACTGTATGTATCAGAGCTGTTTTAGGGCCTTATATATAGGTATTTTTAGTTTTTTATTTAATAATATTATTATTCTATATTAAAAATATATATATTACAGGTTAAAAAGGTTAAAAATAGTATATTAAAAAATAAAATAAATTACAGAGTTGTATAGTAAAGATAGTGGTATACCCTACTAGATTATATATATATCTTTATACAAAGTCTTACTTTCTTAATAACTTTTTTAATACTTAATATTTAGATCCTAAATTTTAAATATAGAATAATTAATATTAGACAAAGCTATATATAAAATATTAAGTTCTAAATCCTTCTAGAAAAAAAAGATATAGAACTGGTATTCGAATACAGTACATAAAAATTATGAAAAATTATGAAAAATTATGCTAAAATGGGTCCAAATGGGTCGAAATGGGTTACCCATTTATAACCCACTGGGTTTTGGGTTGGGTTGGGTTCTAGCTACTATAACCCAAAACCCAGTGGGTTGGGTTTTGGGTCGGCATGTTCAACCCAAAATGGGTTATGGCGATGTCTACTCACATCCCAGCTATCGATATTCTGGAGTTCCTGGACGACGAGAGCCACCTAGAGAAATATTCCTTCGGCTTTCTTCTGGAGGGTCTGCTGAACATATTCTAGTAAGGTATCATCGTCCTGTAGAGATTTAAGCTCTGCTATTCTGTTGGAAATATAAGCTCCAATAGCCACCGATACAAGATCTGCATTTCTCCTGTAATTCTAGGCTCAGTACTGATTGCGAGTTTACGAGCCTTGTGCGTTGCTCAACATAGTTCCGGCTCAAAATGATCCATTTAACATGCGGCAATTTATTTGTCTTATGGAGAATGAATTGTAATAGTTTGCCTTCGTCCTGCATGCATTCGTCGAGAGCATCGACCACAATATAGATCTTGTCTGCGCTCGCGCTCTGTAAGATATCTGAGAACATATTGCACAGGGCAACCCATACCTCCGCATCCCTAAATCGCAGCTCCCCGGTGTCCTTAAATCTTTTTTGTATAGAGGAGAGTAACACTGGCTGCGTGTCCACAAGCATGTAGATCAAACTGCGCAGGACAGCATGAGCGTTACTCAGCTTGGGGATGGTGGCTTGGCAGAAAAAGAACGATAGGAGGGTTTTGGCTTGAGGATCTGCCAGCTTTGAGGTCGGGTAAAGCTCGTCGATGATGCCACAGAGTAGCATCGTCTTGCCTTTGCCGGGGTTACCCTTGATCCAAAGGACCTGGCTGTCGTTGCTATCGCGCCAACATTGGAACTGAGGATGGCGGAGGATCCAGACATAGGATTCCTTGAGAGCGGCTCCCCTTGTCTGGCGGATAGTCAACTTGGTGTCACGCGGATCTGTCACTGCTAGGTAGTCGAGGCAGCGGTTCGTGCTTTGTCTATCGTAGTCTTGGGCTGGCGTACGTTAGATTTGGGACTTCCGAGGGACCGGTTTGGATTCAGACGTACCTCCAACATACATGTTGAACGTCCTTGGATGATAAAATGTCAGTACTGTCTCTCGACGTCATTTAATCATCAATTCGTTCTTACGAATTTTTAAAACTCCCTTGAGCTTGGACATTTCCCCGATAGTTATCTACCCGTTGACTCTCCATTCTGGAGACCGAGTCAAACAATGATCAATCGGCCTGCCCTACGACAAGATTAGCGTTTCCAGCAAAATTTCGGGAGGAGAAACGTGCATTTGATTAAAAGGCGGGGTTATCAAGCTGAAAGCGATGCAGATATTGGCCTGTTGCCTCGAAGTCGCTCACTGCTACCGCCCGCCCCTACCTTTGAGTCATCGGATGGGAAAGAGTAGACGCTTATGCAGCGTGATGGACCGCAACGCATCGCATCTCGCACTGCCATGTTATTTCCCCGCTGTTGCAGATCACTCGTTCTTATAGGGCAGCTCTCTGAGTGGAGGTGACAATGCCCCATTCTCCGACGAGCGCGTCGCATGGACCGCCTTCCAGCCGCAAGTAATGCATCACTCCTGCACTGCCGGCGCTCCGGCTTCTACTGGGGCACACATAGCTGGACCTCTTCAAATGCGGGACTTTGTTGAGTTTGACTTTTTTTCTCGCCCACAGGAACTCCGCGGGTTTGCGCCTTCATGTCCCTGCGCGTGGGGTTTTGACCCGTCCTGGGTTGCCCAAAATATTCAAAAATGATGTTAATCTAATCGCGGACAAAGCTGACAGTCACCTGTTTTTTTTTTTCATGGTCTTTCATAGAACATGAATTGAGGCCGTATCTTGGGCATCTGTAGGGTAACCTCAAATTTCTCATTACCTGGGAGCTTGTATCTTCCCTACTCGCCGTAGTGCAATGGCCTTCAACACCGGGCGCTGTAATTCAAACCAACCTTACTAGGCCTAGCCCAGAGCTAGCCTCTTCAAGATTAGCCCTACCAACAAAGTGCCTTAAGTGATCCCACATCCAGGGCGAAACGAAAAAGTTTCTGTTCCTCGGGGGATCGCGTAGACCCTGAACTCCACGTGACCACTGACTCACACCAGCGCAGAATGCGGGGTTCCACCAAAATCAACCGTTCAATTTAAGCTGGTGAAAACTGCCAAACGCTGGAAGATTGCACGTTCTATACTGTAGTTCAAATATGGTTGATGGTCAAAACCTGAGCTCTTTTCCATCAACACCATCGCCCTATCAATTTAACACAACATTGTTCACCTTTGCTCAACTGACAGCATTCAAATGCAAGAGTCTTGGAGTTCAACGGTCAAAACATGCGCTATCTGACTATGTATACTGTAATCTTTGTCGATAAGACTACAGCATTGAATTCAATAGTCATATACATTTGTTTTGATAATAATTGTATACCCAGAGACTATGCTCAAATCGCAGGATTCAAGTCCTCTCTTGCTGTTTAACGGTCAAAAACAGGGGGGTTGGGCTATTAATCAGTGTAGACTCACCGTTGCCAAAAGTTCTGCAAAGTTCAGGCATGAATGTTAAACCCGTAGCAATTACTTGATGCTGGTGAAAACACCAACAGTCATCACGTCTATGGGCCGACATTTCAGCTTATTTAAGACATCGTTGACACCGCGGCGAAGCTTCGCATACAGAGCCAATGAGGGGTATCCTCAGGATTGTAGTGAAATAGTTGGGTCTGGCTGGTGAAATTTGATTTCAAAGAACCTCAAATTCAAATACAACCAATTGAGCATATATAATGTGTTTTGGAATGTACAACGTGCTATTCACGTACAAGATTCTACAGTGTTCATACTCATTCACAATTCACGGCCTGGTTTCCTTTTCAAGTAGGATATGCCAGTCAGGAAATGGACTAAAAAAGGACCACAATGTCTCCAGCCCATCAACGTCTTGTGCGTACATCGGACGCAATTCGGTCGAGATCGACCGGGATCCCCGCGTCCACCCTGTGGCGGCGGGCCAATGACAAGCCTTCTGTCGCCGACAAAGCTGCCAATCAGCAGTATCTCACCCCGCAAGAGGAGCAAGCCCTCGTTGAATATATATTGCGGCTGGCAGACAGCGGCTATCCTCTTCCAGTTAAGTTTCTAAGATCGCTCGCCCTGATCATCGTGCGCCAGCGGTCTTCGATTTTCCAGATTACAGACCCCAGCCTCAAGGTCCGACCTCCGGGAAAGAATTAGCCGCAGGGCTTCTATCGACGACATCCACAGTTAAAAGCGCGACGGCTGCGAGCGATCGATTAGAAGCGAGATAACCGGCAGATTAAAGACAAAGTCCGACACTGGTTTGCTATCATCGGCCGAGAGCTAGCCGATCCAGCCATTCTCCCGGAGAATATGTATAATATAGACAAGACATAAGTTCTACTCAGCGTTCTTAACTCCCTTAAGGTGCTCGTTAGCAAAGAAGATTTGAGAAAACACAGAGGGACCACGATAAAGAGGACGCTAGTCACAGTAATTAAATACATCTCAGCCGATGGTCGATTCCTGTATCCTCTCATTATCTGGCCGGCCATTACGTACCGCAGTTCGTAGACCACTTATGCTACCCCCGGGTAGCATTATGCCTGCTCTAAAACAGGCTATACAAACACAGAAATCAGTCTGTACTGGGTAGAACATATATTCGATCCGCAGACTCAAGACCGAGCGGGCAATCGGCCACGACTCTTGATCTGCGACGGCTTCGGCACCTATAAGTCTTTAGAGGTTATGAAATTCTGCTTTACTAACTGTATCATCCTATATCGTCTCCCTTCTTATACGTCTTATAAACTGCAGCCGTACGATGTAGGTGTCTTTAGTCCTCTGAAAACAGCGTACCAGGCATAGGTTAAACAGGCCTGTCAGGCTAGGGCAAGTAATATCGGTAAGTCACACTTTACCTATCTTTATAATCGCGCCCAAAAAGAGGCATTCACACCCCGCAATATACGATCTGCCTGGTCGAGAAGCGGCCTCTTTCCTTTCGATCAGTCTCGCGTCCTCCGAAACTTCCCAGTGCCCTAGGCTGAGGTACAGACCGCAGTCCCTGTGGACTATAGGACCGTACCCTCTAATCTCTGTCGTACTCCAAACACCTCTCATCACTTTTCCTTGCTTCGGAGGGAGGTCGAGCAAGATATCCAGAGTCTAGAAAATATATGCAAACGTTGTCTTTAGACATTGAGCCGCGCGGCCGAAAAAGTCTTTGTGGAGCGCGCCTTGTTGCTAGAGGAGAACCGGATTCTATTTAAGCAGAATAATGAAAAGACTTCTCGACAATCCAGGGGCCAAACAGTCATAGGTCATGCCGAAGTAATGAGCTACAAAGATATTATTGTGGCGCAAAAGAAACGTGACATAGAGGTAGCGAAACAAGGCTCTACCCAGAAAAAAAGAGGTCAAAAGCCAAGAATAAACAGCTTTCGAAATCGGAGGAAAAGCGCAAGGCTGAGCAGGAGGTTCAAGCATAGGATATGAATGACTATTGTTCGGTCTTAGATTTACAGACTCATTTGACAGTTTAGAATAATCTTAGACTATTCCGTATCTCCAACAATTTACCGCGCAGAAGTACCTCGGTACTATAAATAGCCGGCGACTTGAATTTATATATTTCTCCATCCTCTCAGCACACCACCTCCTAGTGACGGTACAAATGTAAGTATACTAGCTGTATTAATTAAAGAAAGAGCGTAATTCGCAGGCGTGAACTCCGATTTGTCTTCAATATTTTTGAAACCTTTAACCTGTTTCGAACTGCAGCCAGCTGATCAACGTAGCGTTATCTTCTTTTGCTTACATCAGATCCGACCGTTATTTCATAGTAACCTTGCTGATCCTGCCCTATTTTCTGGACAGTAGAGTCCGTGGTGTTGAAGGTCATGTTTTTATTCTGCTTAAATCAACAACAGGATGAGAGATCGAAGAAAGGAGAATAAGATCGAGCTCCACTTACACTTTGCTCCAGTATGTTCTTAGCAGCCGTGTTAATAACTGGATCCCGCTCCGATGCAGAGCGTAATTCCTTTATGACTTTGAGAAGCTTATCCATTTCCTCCTCACCTGCCTCTTCTTCATCGCTCACAGAAGGAGTGTAAATTTGGTATAGTGCGTCAATGTGATCATTGATGTCCTTGACTAGCTTCTCGAGATGCTTCTCGTCGTAGATAGCAAATTTGAAGAGTCGAGGAACTGACATCTTGTTTCTACGCTCGTGGACAATCTTTTGCATTGTCTCATGGAGGTAACAGTGCATAGCGCTCCACTTGAAGCCATCCTGGCCGAACGGCTTTATTTCGTTCGCCTTCACTTCAGGGTCATCCTCGGACTTTCCTTTGCGTTCGTTGTTACAGATTTTCTTAGACTCTTCGAAAAGAGTCACCAAGATCCGAAATGTCCGTATAGCCTGATTCTCCTGCTCCTCGTCGAGCTGGAATGAGCCCGAGCTTTTCAGCGATTCCTCGTCCTCGATATCTGAGCCTGTGAGACCGACAGCCTGGCCCCAGCGCGTTAGTCTTAGTTGCGCACTGCTAAGCTTCACGATCAGGGACTGTAGTTGCGGGGCCGCCTTTCTGGCAACGTAGATATAGTCAAACCAGGTAATGGTCGTGGTAAAAAGACCTGCAAGCCCAGATGCCACACTAATTACTTCCGCGCCCGTCATCTCAGTAAGGGTGCGCGTGGCTCTGTGTGAAGTTATAGATTGGTTGATGATGATAGGCTTGGCGGAGCTCGAGATGGGTTATTATGCGTAGTTCTTGGGGCAATGTGGTCATTTTTGTATCAGAGAGACCGACTTGGAGTAGGTAAGTTACATGGCCTCTTTAAATACTAGATGGTTGGGCGCTGCGGTCGCCGGAGTGCTGGAGCTTGCGGCTGGAAACGGTCCGTGCTCTGCTCGCCAGAGAAAGGGTCAATCTTACGTCGATACTGTAGGCTGCCCCACTGGAACGAATGATTTGCAACCGCGGGAACGCGACGTGGCAAATACGATGCAGCTCGGAGCAATCCGTCACATAGGAGGAGCGCTGTTCTCCACACGATTGCCCGAAGGAAGGGGCGGGCGGCAGTGAATTGTGCGCCACGTGCAGGCAACTATCCGATTTCCGCATGGCGTGCCGCTAGAGCAGCAGCTACCGCGGAGCCAGAAGACAGATGCCATACCTGTTCAAACCCCATGCAAGATTTTGATGGGTCCAGCCCTGCTAGCTGCAGTGGGTTCAGCTTGATGACCTGGCTCTTCAATCATGTGCAAAGCGGATGCTTTTCTGATTGATCTTGTAACGACGGCTCAAATTCTGTCACCTATCGAATTTCTCTGCTTGTAGTGGCGTACTGCAGAGCGACTGCTAGATACGCTCAACTCACTATACAGCGGACTTAGCCAGAGTTAGATGACTGGTCATCTCCATGAGGAGACAACAGTGGGATAACAATGGGGGCACTGTCCAGGCTCAGGGGAATTTTCAACACGCGTAAGCCCAGATCAACGATAATATGACTTGAGATCCCATGCTAACAGGGTACCAATCCAGCACCTTCCATATGCATGTTGATCGTAAGTCTAAACATCAAGTTTTCCCCTCGACGATGCCCAGTCTAACATAAAGCTCGCAACACCAAGACAGACAAAGCATGGATCGCTGCCTCGAATACTTCGCAGTAACTAATCCGCGCGACGTCAAGACGAACATCTACCAGACAAGGGGGGCGGCACTCAAAGAGTCCTACGACTGGATTCTGTGTCATCCGCAGTTCCAGTGTTGGCGCGAGAACAACGACAGCCAGGTCCTCTGGGTTAAGGGAGACCCTGGCAAAGGCAAGACCATGCTACTCTGTGGCATCATCGACGAGCTTCGATCTACTACGAAGCTGGAAGATCCCCAAGCCAAGACCCTCCTATCGTTCTTTTTCTGCCAAGCCACCGATCCCAAGCTGAGTAACGCTCATGCTGTCCTGCGTGGTTTGATTTATATGCTCGTGAAGCAGCAGCCACTATTCCTCTCACACGTGCAGGAGAGATTCAGGGACACTGGAGAACCACTATTTAGCGATGGGGATGCGTGGGCTGCACTATGCAATATGTTAATGGATATCCTACGTGATCCTAGCCTGGATATGATGTACATTGTGGTTGATGCCCTGGACGAAAGCGTGGAGGACCGAGATAAACTCTTACGGCTTATTTTACTAGAGATAAGGGGATTACCGCACGTCAAATGGATTATATCCAGCCGGAACCACGTTGATCAGCGCAAAAGGCTTGATGACTCGCAGTCAATACTGAGCCTGGAATTACAGGAAAACGCAGAATCCGTGTCTCTGGCTATCAGAGCTTACATCTCGAACAGGATAGCGGAACTTGAGTCTCTGGAGGATGATGATACTTTGCTAGAATATGTTCAGCAGACCCTCGAGAAGAAAGCCGAAGGAACGTTTCTCTGGGTGGCGCTCGTGGTCCAGGAACTCCAGGGTGTTGATAGCTGGGATGTGAAACAGGTGGTGGATGATGTACCGACAGGGTTGGATGATATGTATGCGCGAATGATAGACCAGATCGAACAAGAAGCGCCCCGAACCCGAAAGTTCTGTCAGCTTCTCCTCTCAGCTGCCACCCTGGCTTATCGGCCACTTCAGCTATTGGAGTTAGGGGTAGTTTCGGGACTCCCAGACGAGATCGCCGGAAAGGCCAAGAACCTAGTGACAATAATCAAGAGGAGCGGCTCGTTTCTCACAGTCCGCGACGAAAGCATTTACTTCGTGCATCAGTCTGCTAAGGACTACCTGATGGGAAAGGGCGGACAGAGCATCTTCTCGTCTAACCCTGCGGTTGCCCATTACCGAATGTTCACACAGTCCCTCCAGTTGATGAGGAAGATGTTGCGCCGGGATATATACGGGCTGCGCGCCTTAGCCACTCACATTACACAGGTGCAGCCCCCCGACTCCGATCTGCTCGCAGGTACCCGGTACTCATATCTTTACTGGGTCGACCATCTACGAGAAAGCAGATCATATGAAGATCTCCAGGATAGTGGTATCGTCGACATATTTCTTCGATCGCAATGTCTCTACTGGCTGGAGGCACTAAGCCTCCTGCGAAGCATGACGGATGGAATCATGTCGATAAAGAGACTGAGGGATCTCGTATCGGTATGTGTTCATTTTCAGGGATTGAAACTGCTCTAATACCGTTATAGGAACAATCGGCAGCAGCCAAACTGAGCAGCCTCGTCCAAGATGCATATCGGTTCAGTCTATATCACCGAGGTGCGATTGAGAATAGCCCCCTTCAGGCGTACGGATGTAGACTTGTATTCAGTCCAACGCGGAGTATGATCAAGCAGCTGTTCCAGCACGAGCAGCCCAAAGATGTCAGGATGATGCCGCCAATGGGAGATGACTGGGATGCGCACACCGGCGCCTGCCTGCAGACGCTGGAGGGCCATGACGGTTATGTATGCTCAGTGGTATTCTCCCACGACAGCAGCCACGTCGCGTCCGGGTCTTTGGACAAGACGATTAAGATCTGGGATGCGCATACCGGCGCCTGCTTACAGACGCTGGAGGGTCATGATGACAGGGTCACCTCAGTGGTGTTCTCTCCTGACAGCAGCCGCGTTACGTCCGGGTCGTATGACAAGACGATCAAGATCTAGGATGCGTACACTGGCGTCTGCCTGCAGACGCTAAAGGGCCATAACGATTATGTCAACTCGATGGGGTTCTCTCCTGACAGCAGCCGTGTCGCGTCCGGGTCGTATGACCAGACGATCAAAATTTGGGATGCACATACCGGCGCCTGCCTGCAGACGCTGAAGGGCCATGATCGCTCAGTCACAGCAGTGGTGTTCTCTCCTAACAGCAGCCGCGTCGTGTCCGGGTCGTACGATAAGACAATCAAGATCTGGAATACACGCACCGGGGCCTGCCTGCAGACGTTGGAGGGCCATGAAAATTATGTCAACTCAGTGATGTTCTCCTACGACAGCAAACGAGTCGCGTCCGGGTCTTTGGACAAGACGATCAAGATCTGGGATGCGCAGACCGGTGATTACCTGCAGACGCTGGAGGGCCATAACGATTATGTCAACTCAGTGGTTTTCTCTCCCGACAGCAGCCGCATCGCGTCTGGGTCGTGCGACCAGACGGTTAAGATCTGGGTTGCGCATACTGGCGCCTGCCTGCAGACGCTGGAGGGTCATGAAGACAGGGTCACCTCGGTAGTATTCTCTCCTGACGGCAGCCGTGTCGCGTCCGGGTCGTACGACCAGACGATCAAGATTTGGGATGCGCACACTGACGCCTGCCTGCAGACGCTGGAGAGTCATGATGACAGGGTCACCTCAGTGGTGTTCTCTCCTGACGGCAGCCGTGTCGCGTCCGGGTCGTACGACCAGACGATCAAGATCTGGGATGCGCACACTGACGCCTGCCTGCAGACGCTAGAGGGCCATGATCGCACAGTCACCGCAGTGGTGTTCTCTCCCGACAGCAGCCGCATCGCGTCCGGGTCGGAGGATAAGACGATCAAGATCTGGAATATGCACACCGGGGCCTGCCTGCAGACGCTAGAGGGCCATGACGATTATATAACCTCACTAGTGTTCTCTCCCGACAGCAGCCGCGTCGCGTCCGGGTCGGAGGATAAGACGATCAAGATTTGGGATACGCAGACCGGTGCTTACCTGCAGACGCTGGAGGGTCATAAAAGCTGGATCAGATCAGTGGTGTTCTCCCACGACAGTAGCCGTATTGCGTCCGGGTCGCACGACCAGGTGATTAGGATTTGGGATATGTATACTGGCGCCTGCCTACAGACGCTGAAGGGCCATGGCAGCAGTGTATATCCAGTGGTGTTCTCTCCCGACAGCAACCGCGTCGCGTCCGGGTCATACGGCATGACGATCAAGATCTGGAATACACAGACCGGCGCCTGCCTCTAGACCCTCAGCATTGGCTCTCCTGTTAGCAATATTTCTTTCGACGCTACCGGCTCTTCCCTTCACACTGACATTGGAATTGTCGCGCTCCGCGACTCGCCAATACCTACCCCAACCACTTCGACAGATGTTGTTGCTTCAGAACCCCAGGCACTCAGCGCAAGCCTACTGTCGCAAAAACCTGAATATCAATTTTACGGTATCAGTTCCGATAAGTTCTGGATCACACGGCGTTCACAGAACTGGCTCTGGCTGCCCCCCACATATCGCCCAACCTGTTCTGCTGCAGGACAGTCTGGATTAGCCGTGGTGCTTGGCTGCCAGTCGGGACGTGTCTTGATCTTCGGATTCGTGCCTGAGAATTCTAAGTGAGCGCTTTCCGGTCGCTGGCCAACAAGACCGCAAGGGACGGACAATCTCACGCAGGGCTTCTCTTACCACGCAGAATTATTTCTCGCAGACGGCCGTGGTAATCACCTGATCGTCGGCCTGAGCCTAGCGAGGTACCTTCCCGTAATAGTTACAGACGGGCTGTGGGGCGACTTCTATATTAAGCGGCAGCTGTATATTTCATACACGACTTTACACCATTGTTATTTTCCCGTGTATTCAACTGCTAAAAAGTTGCCATTTTTGTACCTCTTTAAAGGTAAGAATTTCGCTCAGATCAAAATTCCGATAGCCCAAATTATCGTGGTATCATATAAAGATAACGACCGCGATCAGAAAGGCATTATCACGCAAGACTATCCTTGGTCCACGCCTCTGGCGTCTTGATGGGTGATCTTGGCGTCCCAGTAGTCAACGGCAGGTTTCCTAGCTGTATATGACATCTTGTACTTCAGTATTGGGACGTAGTATTTTCTTTGTTTTTCAATATCACTGATGACAATTGTCATCTAATTGAGGTATTCCCTATTCTCGAATAACAATTAACTTGTGGTCAGAGAATAAAGATGCTCGACTCTGTAGGTACCTCGCGGCTGTTTCATCACATAGGGCATTTCATTTCACCGGGATGCGGGTTAATAGTTTCGCACCCCCCAGGTTTGGTTTCCTCCAGGAACTACTTCAGACTAGTCCGGCAATCCCCGAGTCCGGATTAAATCGGAGCTTGAGCGTCCAAAGTGGATCTGCGTTCAAGTACTATTAATAAAAGCAGCAACTAGAACCTCGTAGCCCTGCTTAACAGAAAAGAATCGATGCTTAGAGAAATAGTTGAATCATGAATTCGATCGTAGCTCTGATAAATAATTTTTTGCTAGCCGCCTATTTTGCTGCATGTTTGTAGGCTACCATACATAACCCCAGGAGTGGAGATGTGAGTGTGAATGAAGGTGTTGCCAGTTGGCGTTCTCTCGGGGCGGTCAGGATTGCAGTTCTCCAGTTCTGTTCCTCTTCTGAAGTGTTACACAAATTAGTCCAATAAAAGCCTGTATTGCAATATCCGGAATTCTTCTTTCCAACATGGAAAGTTATACCAGGAGGAACCTTTTCTTCCCCAAGCCACGGCCCGTACGGTTATTGATCGCTCTATAGTCTCAGACTGGAGCGTGCCCTCTGGACAGATGGAGCGTGGACGGAAAGATGGGGTACATCGGGCCAATCATGTGGCTCGTTGATAAGAAAACGAAATAGATCATGATAGGTTGAAGATGTGTGAGAATGCGCCATCGATTGGTCGGTGAATTGTGCCGTTTCAAATGCAAAAGGACATGTAACCTTCCAAGGTTGGAAAGTAATATTATGTAAAATTCTAGAGAACTTCTGTCTAAGCTTTCTCAATCTACGCCTCGGATATTGCGTGTTAGATCCCTCACCTGATGCACCATGTTGGCTCTTTAATTGCCTCTTCGTTTGCTTTGTTTCCCATTTTCCTCTTTGTACCTGCTATCTCAGCAGTTGAGAAGAGACTGTTGGTACATTCCAACCACTTCACACTTATGTCTTTCATCGACGGGGCTACTACCCACCCAGTCCCTATTTTATCTTCACTTGAGCAGCAAAAACAGCCGGACAAAGAACATGTGACTGCGGCAGAAAGCGAGAATGAGAGGACCGCCGAAATTCCATTGGAATATGCCATCAGAGAAGGCGATTCAGATGTTGTCCTCGTGGATTTCGAGGAGAACGACCCAGAGAACCCCTTGAACTGGTCGTCAACGCATAAATGGCTGATTGTGTTTGTTGTCTCATGGATGGGTTTCGTCAGGTAGGCATCTTTTCTTTTTTTATCTCGCAGGTCTGTATACCCTCCTTCATCGACTGACCGAATTAGCGTCTTTTCGACAATGACGATTGTGCCCACGACGCCGCAGATCTTACAAGAGTTTAATTCGCATAGCAAGGTCGACCAGACCTTGCTCGTCACGATTTGGGAGCTTGGAGAAGGAATTGGTCCGTTTTTCATTGCACCGCTCTCCGAAAGATTCGGTCGACTTCCTGTCTTCCATATCGGAAATTTCCTCGCGCTCCTTTGCTTGATCGCCAGCGCCCTGAGCGTAAACATTCCCATGTTGATTGCGTTCCGATTCCTAACGGGTTGCTTCCTGTCGATTCTCACTCTCGGACCCGCCATCGTCGGGGATCTGTTCCAAATGGAACGAACCGGCCAGGCAATGGCATTGGTTATGGGGACGCAAATGATAGCTGATTTTATCTCACCTATCGCCGGATCGTATATCGCACAGAGCCTGGGTTGGCGATGGTCGATTTGGCTGGCAGCTATCATACTTGGATTCTTCAGCTTTCTATTGCTGACTGTGCTCCGGGAAACATACACGGTGGTGATTCTGAGGCGAAAGGCAGAGAGGTTGCAAGAGGAGCGTGCGGATGAGAAGAAGTATCATTCGAAACACCAAGCCCTTGTCGATGAATCCACCATGCTCGAAAGCGCCATAAAACCAATGCAGATACTGGCACAGTCCCCCATCCTCATTCTGACCACAAGCTACATGGCCATAACATACGCATTGGTCTCATTGATTCTTGCCACGCTCACGGAAAACATGGAAACGACGTACCCAAAGTGTTCTCTAGCGGCTCAGTTGGCTTGACTTTTTTGAGTCTCGCGATCGGCAACACCGTCGCTTTGATCTTCTACAGTGTCACTTCCGACCGCTACATGACCCACCAGCGAGAGACGAAGGGCGACGCATTCAAACAGGAATCCCGACTGATTCATCTAATTTTTGCAGCAATAATTCTTCCTGTCGGCTTCCTGGTCTACGGATGGACATTACATTTCCATGTTCAATACATCGTGCCGCTCATCGGGACGTGCGCTGCAGGATTCAGCATGACGCTTTCTGCCATACCGGCTGAGACATATGTGGTGGATGTTTATGAAATTCATGGTGCATCCGCTATAGCTGGTGGTGTCATCTTCCGAGCGATTGCTGGCGCTTTTCTGCCATTGATAGGCCCGGCTTTATATGATAGTATTGGACAGGGCTGGGGTAACACCGTTCTAGCTTTGATCGCAGCCGCTTTTATTCCTCCCTTGGGCTTACTGATGAGGTACGGAGACTGGTTCCATAGTAAAGAACGGCTTGGAAAGTCTAGGCGATAGGTTTAAATGTTGGTTTCAGGGTTGTGATCCATAGTACATATGTAAAAGTTTGAATGGTATATTCATTATACACCGCTACAATGCACGTGCACTTGTGTGGTCAAGGCGTTTGAGAACTACATTCAGTCAAAGTAAACAAACACTCTAGCTTCAATACTCTCCCGCAATTGTGTCTCATTAGTATTGCGAGCGTCGTAAAACGCCGTATGGGGAACCCCTGATTCAATAAATTTTAGTGTCAAAATTCGGGGAAATGAATTCTCTAGGCGATAGGGTAGAATTTATCATACCTGCTCGGTTCTCCTCTTGGGAATCTGCCTGTACGAAGGCGATTATCTCGTCGGCCTGTAGGCCATGCCAATAGTACCATTTGTGACTATCGTCAAAGTATATGCGAGTATTTTCGTTTATGTAGTTACTAGTAACAATGTCCATTGCAGTGGCCTGGGATTCATAGTCCACGGTACTGCGGTCGCAAACCGTCAGAGGAAAGTCGTATACTGGTCCTAAACATAGTCGGGCCCGTAAGGGGGGGGGGTTATCCGCATTAACAAGTCTTGGCAAGGGGGGGGGTTACGGCATTTAAGGTTTGAACTCGTAACCCCCCCCTAAGTACCTTAAATCTTAGTATTTTCCGATCGGGTCTTGAAGATCTTTTAATAAAATAGTTGAAATTATCTGTCTATTAAAAAATATTAGTAGATTTTAGGCTAGAAGGGGCTAACCCTAAGGGGGGTAGTTTGTATAGGGGATTTTTTGATGGGGATGCCAAGGCCTGGCCCTGCGGGTATACTATACCCTTTTCGGCCACTCCCCTCAGCCCTTAGGGTTTCGCCTTAGCAATCTGGCACTCTAGGGTTTATAGGGTCTAGAGTAAGATAGCTTATAACTAGATAAGTAGGTAAGCTATTCAAATAGGGCTTTTTGTATTAGCTCGATAGGAGATCTAGCTATAGGCCTATTCTATAGAGATTATATAAGCAATCTCTATATAGACAGTATAAACCTAAGTAGGTTCTTTAGAACGTTCTATAAGATAACTAATTAATTTTACTCTAGTATAGTAGTGGTAGTCTTGGTTAATTAACCAGTTTATAGGCTAGTTAATTGACCAGTTGATAGGCTAGATAGTAGGCCAGAATATATACTAGAAGGTAGGTAAGCAGCCAGATTATAATAGTTACTTAGTTGTCAGGCTAGAGCTAGAGACCTGTGACTAGACAAAGGTTTTGGATAGTAGAGATCAGATTAGACAGTTGATATACAGACTGATTCTTAAAGCTATCAAGAATTCTGAATAATTATAGGATCTTAAATACACTAGGGTTTGAGTAGATCTTGATATACAGGTAGCTCGAAGGGGATTCGAGTGCAGATTGATATCGAACGTCTAGGGTACTGTATACTTCAAAATCCTATAATATAGTACCTAAGGTAGGCTACCTAGTATAAAGAGCTGTAGCAATAACTGTTTAATTAGGGCTAGGCCTGTATACTGTTTACAATAATCTTAGAGAAGAAGAGTTATTTATATCTGTCTATCTTGGTTTCCTGCAGGAAAAAGGTTATATACTATCACGTAATATTAACTGGGCCCTGGCCCGTTATACCTAGGGGGTCTACCTAGATCGATACACTATCTAGGTAATATAGTATCTTAGCTTATATAATTCAGTAGTAGGCTAGGTAGTAGGTTAGAAGGTAGGATAGCTAGTTAATAGGCTAGTTGATAGGCCAGTTGATAGGCCAGTTAATAGGCCATAAGGTAGGTAAGCAGCTAGGTAGGCAGATAGATACGCTAGTATTAGGCTATAATCTACTACTAGGCTACTACTAGGCTACTACTAAGCTACTACTAAGCTATTACTACCAGGCTAATACTACTACACTACTATATATTATTAAGAACAGATCAGGCTAATTAACTGCACCTAAATTAATCTACTACCTACTACATAAATCTATCTACTCACTATAGCCATAGAGATCTCCGTAGCTACTAGCAAAGCAGTAGAAGACCCAGGCTGCACCTACCATCTCAGTATCTAATTTCCAAAGAGGCTCTTGGAAGGTATCTGGCTGCCATGTTTTAGGTATCCAATCTGTACCAAAATAAGGCTTGCCTAAGCTTGGCCGCTTAGTAAACGATAGATGGCAGGCAGTCTAAAAGGATAGGAGTAACCTAGGGGCCAGGCATGATTTACCCTCATTGGTAAGCAGAGGGCCCTTACAGAGCCTAGTAGGTAGATAGTACCTGAAGCAGCAACTATCTACCTGAGGATTCAGGCTATCATCTAGCTGCTGGATCTACTGTTGAATATCAGGCCTTTGGTAAACAGGACAGGTAGTTAGTAGATGCCTAAGGTCTGGCTTGGACCCTCGAGGCTCCCTTCCTATATAATAGATTAGTATAATCGATAGATAGATAGACAGATAGATAGATAGATAGATAGGTAGTAGGGTAGTAGGGTAGTAGGCTTACCTAGCCACGCGATGAAGCAGACCAGACACTGCTTGTTTATCCAGAAATGAATAGCCCTTGGTAGTAGCTCACCACCCTTCCAATTCTGCTGATGGGTCTGATATACCCTATCTACTACTGCTGATTGGGTAGCTAGACGGTCAGCGCAGAGATCACACTGTGCCCAGGCAGGGTCGTATGATTCTAGGGCTTCTGAATCAAAAACCCTAGAGATTACCCGCAGCGGCAGATCTGTTCTAGTAGATAGCTTTGGAAGTAGGCCTTTTCTGCTGTCTGAGGCACTGAGCTAGCCTGAGGCTGCTGTAGCTGGTAAGATTGTACTAGGCAGTAGGACCACGCTAGACTATCAGGTGATCTACCAGCTCTACCAGATTCCTGTATAAAATTAGTCATCTTATAGGCACCAGGTAGGAAGTGGATAACAAGATTGACATCAGGAAAATCATAACCAGCCCCTACTCTACTAGTAGCTAATAGAATAGGGGTTCCTGCCCTAAAGCTTCCTAGCTGGCTTAGCTTATCCTCATCAGATAGCCCAGAGTGGAATCTAGCTGCCTGAGGCTGTAAGGAATCAAACAGCCCATCAACCAGCTTTTTGGTACGGCAGAAGACTACTACCTTTGCAGTAGCCCTAGGGCCAAAGGGACCATTGGTAGCCTCAAATTTCTTGACAAACTGGCTAATATAGCTAGGGTATCTAGCCTCATCTAGCCTAGATGGTAGGGTTTGGGCCCTATAGGCCATCTGTGTCAAGAGTAGGCTAGCCCTAAGGGTATAGGGCTGATTACCTAGCTGAAGCATATCAATCAGCTCAGTCTGCAGATGGTTTGGTAGAGTAGCTGAAGCAAAGACCATAGGAACCCTAAGGGCTAGGGCATGCCAGGCACGCTTCATAATTGGCCGATAGCTCTGGGATAGAGGGATCAGATGACATTCATCCCAAATCAATCTAGCTAGTCTTCTTTGGGTAATTAGAGTACTAGCTAGATCTAGGAACCTTAGGTGAATCACATGCTCAATTTAGACTAGGAGGATCCTACACCCACTAGGCAGAGAGTATAGGGAAGGCGACCAAGCAGTAGGCCCTAGGCCTAAGGTACCTGCCTTCCCTAATAGATCTAGCTTCAAAGAGATCAGTGGGATAACAATAATAGTAACCTGGCTCGCAAAGAGACTAGCCCCAAATAGGAACAGTGTAGTCTTTCCTGCAGCAGTAGGTAGGATCAAGAAGAGATAGGGTATAGGCTTCATCATCAGATAGAAAGCCTGTTGCTGCTCAGAGCTTCGGAAGGTAGCCTGCCGATCACTAAGGAACTCCTGAAGTAGCTAGGTCAGAAGGCCTATATCTACCTGGCTACTAGCTATCAAGGGTATATAGCTAGGTGACTGGATTAGCTGCCTAGTAGCTGCCTGAGGTATCCTATATAGGCTCATGAATTCATTGAATTAACCAATGGAGACCCTATCAGTAGGGCGGTCAATACCAGGGCGGGCAGGATAGTAGAATTCAACCACTGGACGGTCAAGTGGTAGCTTAAGAGCTATAGGGGCCTTAGGCTCCTGAGACAGAATAGGGTCTATTTCTGCCTTAGGGATTAGGCGTAAGCGGTTATAGAAGAGAGACCCTAGGACTAGCTGATCAGGTGCTACACCGAGATAGGTATGCCACTGCTGGCTAAAGCTAATTAGGGCAGATTAGATATCTGCCCTAACGCCCTGGAAGCTAGTCAGGGTTCTACCATAGATAGCTAGGCCTGTAGCTCTACTATAATTCATCTGATCTGCCCCTAAGCCCTCATAGTCAATCTCATCAATAGTAGGATCTTCTAGGGTATCTGATAGGCCTAGGCCATGCCTAATAAACCCCTGTGCCAGATGACGCCAGATTCTGATATTGATTCGCTGAGTAAGCAAATCACTAGTCAGAGTCTTTAGCGTATGAGATAGGACTTTGGATGAGAAGGGTCTAGCGGTCCGATAGTCCCAGAAGAGTAGAAAGTATGCCTTAGGCAGCTGGTTTTCAAGAGAGATTAGTAGGGCTTCTTCAAACGGTCTTATATAGGCTAGATAGGCTAGTATAAGATAGGATACCGCTTGTGGTAAAGCCCTAACTGCATCCTTCTCCTGGCCATTTCGTGAGAAGGTCTTTGAATAGGCTAGCCGGACTAGGAATATATGATTCACAGGGTCTCAGGAAGAGATTCCTAGGGGTCTCTGGGGTATTTTGCCAGATTACCTGACTGATCTCCGTACCCCTAGCCGGTGCACCACTAGTTATATGACATAGGGCAAGAAGTATCTTTAACCACCTACTACTAGTCTCTAGATAGGAGAGAGCCCTAGATCTAGAGAGTTCGATCGTAGGCCTCTGGCTATCATCCATAGTCTGAATTATCCAGTTTGGCTGAGCAAGGGCCTTCTGAAGAAGAAAATTATGTGCTTCCTGGCTAAGATAGACAGAAAGAACTGACCAGTTTGCAGTAGGATTATTGATATCCTCAAAGCTAGAAGCCTTTTG